CCGGTGATGTTGTCCTTGACAAACAAGTGGTTTTGAAGCTGGCACGACCGCGAACACTCAATTCGTCGCCCTCGGTCGCACGGATGATGCTCGTCGACTTCATCTTCTTTGCCGTCACTTCATCAAAGAACTTCTTAGCAGGAGGCATCCTTATGAAAAGGACCCCAAAGGGAACCTATTTTGGAGAATTATCCACGTGCTAGACAGGAGGGCTTTTCATAATAGCATGCTTGGAGTAGGAAGTCCCCTTAACGCCTTTAAGGGTTTGGGGTGTAGGGACGGGGGGCTTGGGATTGTAGTGCAGGTTCGTATTCTTAGTTAGGAGTTGGGACTCAAGAAGGTCCCCTTGAAGAGGGCCGGAGGAATGGTCAAAGAGGATCCCCTTCAATTAAGGGGTTTTCCCGAAGACTGCTTATAGGTAACCTTGGGAGTCCATGCTTATTCGGCATGTCGACCCACAGAGGGTTTGGGGCTAGGGTTTCGGGTTTACCTAGAGGGTCATACCCTACCCCTTTTTTTAAGGTACCTAGTTTTATGGATTGGTTCTCTTATAAAGAAAAGTAGGTACCCTAAAAAAAGAGGAAGGGTATGATCCTATAGGTAGGGCTTAGGGTCAACGAGCCGCACAAAACACGCACCCTGACCCTTGCGTAGGAGGAGACTCTGACCGATAGCCTGGCCGACACCACAATGCTTCGGCTCCTAAGCCCAAGCCCAAAAATCATGATATCCCCAGACCTTGCAAAATCCCTTAATTAAGGAACATACCTTAAATTATAGTAGGATCCCTACGATAATTTAAGGTATATTCCTTAATTAAGGGGTTTTGGAAGGTCTGGGTCCAGGCTGCCAAGTGGGGATTTCGATGTTTCAGATACAGGTTCATATTTTACAAATTTAACAGAACATCACATAGCAAAACATATTCTAGCGTGATATCAATACACAGTAAAGTCTGGGATCAGGCTGCCCAACAGCGGGGCCAATAGCCAGTGACCCCAGTGCCCCTCCACAATGGCCCTCAAAGGCACCCCTCAAAGAAACCCTATCTGGGAGTTTCCGAAAACAGGGGACCCGAATATAGTACCCCAAATAGCATGATCCCTATTACAAGGACCCCCAAAATAAGCTACCCCTAATTTCCGAAAGCCCCAAGCCCTTATAGAGCCCTTTAAAGGGCCCTAATTCTCGGAAACTCCCATTTGGGCACATGGACCCTCAGGGTAAGATACTCTGCACGTGCCCGAGGCACCCCTGACGCTGCTAAACCGACTTGCCAGTTGCAGGTGTCGTATAGGATAGGGTTTAGCATTTAGGGTTTCCCAAAGGGTCCTATGTACTGTTATGGGGGATACTTCCCTAAGTCATAATAGTAATTCCTACTATGGAAACCCTACATTCTACTATATGGGTACATTGGACCCTTTGGGTTAAAGGTTAGTCAAAGGGTTTAGGGTCTGAAAGGGATGTTCTGGGGCCTTCTAAAAGAAGGGCTACTCCTTTAGCTTCGTTGCATCTCGCGGTGTTTTTCGGGAGGTGGGATGCAAGTGTAACACGGTCCACGTGTCGGGGTTTTTGGCTGGCTTCTCGGAAGTTGCGGCTTGCAGGTCCAGCGATCCAGGATCAGGGTCTACGGGCTTACAGGTGTTTCGAGGAAGTCCACCTAGTATCCGTTTGTAGCCCTAAACTGAAACGGACCCCATCAACCATCTAAAGCCTGCCCGCTAGAGAAAAGAGTCTGGCAGCATTACTTGGAGGCTTGGAGGATCAGGAAAATGGTATTCATGTTCAGAGCTAGAAGCGGATGCCATTTGAAGCACTCATAACTCTTCTCGCTGCCTCCCTGCTAAGCCCTACGTCCCAAGTCCCCCCAAACCCCTCACAGTAACCCAATATCGTAACCCCTATAGCACCCCTGTTTTTATAGTAACGCATAATGGAACCCTTGCTAAGTCCTCCGACTCTCCAAGTACGACACCCGCGGCAACCCTCGCAAGGACCCTAAACTCTAGACCAGCCTAAACCCTGAATTACACCCAAGCCCTAAACCCCAAACTACCCTAGACTTAGAACACTAAACTTCCCAAACCCGTGATTCTCCTAAACCCTATGTAGTCCCTAAATCTTAAAGTTCCCGAAGGCCCCGTAACTCCTAATCCTAAACTTCAATCCTTCATTATGGGTATATTCCTTATTAGGGCCCTATAACCCCTCAATCCTGAATGTTCCTAAATCCTAAACCCCTAAAGCCCGGTACCGAAGCACCTGCCGGGTGAGCTGGACTCGGGCAGTGAATGCCGGGTCTTTAGACCGCGGCTGCGTGCGCATGGCATGCTGCGGAGCGCTTAAAGTTTAGGGTTTAGGGCTTAGGGATTAGAGCTTAGGTTTAGGGTTTTGGGTGTATTGTTTAGGGCTTAGGGTTTGGCGTTCAGGGCTTAGGGTTCAGGGCTTAGACTGTTTTAAAGACTACCCAGACAGTATCTACTTTGGCCCTAGGGTACCCGTATAGGTACGACCTTGAGGCAACAGTAGTTATGTACTGTATGAATACATGGACCTAGGCTTCGTTTGGGCTTGAGGGTTTGGGACTTGCGGTCGCAGATGTTCATGGATGCTCTTTCCTGCCTAGCTCACAAGTGCCGGGGTACCGGACAGCGTGAAGTTTGGGTGTTGCATACCCTAAACCTACATGGTGGGGACGAGACGTCCGGATAGAGTTTGGGACTGGAGTAGGACGTGCATGCCTGCACCATATGCAGGTCCGGGGTCTACTCGTTCAAGCTCAGGGTTTAGAGTTTTGGACTTTGGGGCTTGAGGTCTAGGGTTAACGGATTTGTGGTGGGACGACGGATCAGCTGCATGGTAGCTGTCTTGCTTGAGCACCAGGATGCATCTACAAAACAACACCGATTGGCAACAAGCCCCAAAATCCCCTTTTCAGCCTTATCAAGCCTAGACCCTTTACGCGAAGCCTGAAGTAGAAGCCAGAAAGTTGGAACACTATCATCCTCATACCCTTATGAGGCAAAGTCTAACGGTCCCAGCAACACTGCTTTAACTTTCTGGGATTCGCTGTAGTTACTTAACCCCTGCAAATCCCTAAAGCCACTGTTCCCAAGCGGACTCCCAAGCCCACGACTCAAGCCTTTTTTGTGATCTGTTGCTGCTCACTTGTGGAGCATCTCTGGGCAACGAAGTGCTTGGATTTAGGATTTGGTTTATTCCGACACTTTCTGCCTCAAGGTTCTTGGCTGAAGAGAGGCGTGTGATGAATGAGAATGGGGCTTTGATAAGGGTTCCTTTCAGAAAAAAGTATTAAAGTATGGTACTTCAAAACCCAGCTTTGTACAATGAACGGTATGGTGCGAGGGGGGGGGGGGGGGGGGGGGGCTAGGGGTGACCTCCGGGTGCAGCTGCGCCCGGCTCTTGCTTTGCTGGGTTCTTGATAAGGGATCTAATGAAGTTACCATACCTGGACCCTAAGGAACCTACCTTTTTAGGGCTCCTTAATATGATTTCTTTATATAAGTCCTTAAAAAGGTATGTTACGTGGGGTTAATGTAGTCTTAATTTCTGAGTTCATAAGCCCCCAAATGTGTACACCTCTTTTAGTTTTATAGTGGGTAATATGATCTCGAAAAGAGTAAAGTGTATCCACTCAGCTACTAAGTAGTAAGGAAACCATACTAATAACCATAGATCCCTATGGTGGTAACTTAATGTAAGTTCCTTAACAAGAGCCCAGTCCTTCTTGTCGGGCATCACGGGGAACTAAAGGTTAAGCTTTTTGGTTATATAGGGACTACACTGCCCAAAAGCACCCGACCCCCAATGCTAAAATTCTAAACCCTAAATCACGTGGTTCAGTGAAGGGTTTTTTCTGATTGGCAGAGCCACAATATGAGTAGTTCTCTAAATTAGGGTCGCATTTTGGGTCCCCGCAATTTAACAGGACCCTAGAAGGACCCTAACTTAGGGAACTACCCATGTGGGAGTTTCCGATCATAGTGGACCCTAATATAGTAGCCGAAATAGTAGGATCCTTTTTGTAAGGACCCCGAAATAAGGTAACCCTAATTTTCTGAAACCCAAATTAAACCCTTATAGAGCCCTCTAAAGGAACCTGTTTAGTAACGTTGTAGTAACCCTTTAAATAAACCCTTAGGTACCCCCAATTTTCGGAAACTCGCGGATGTTAAAAGCAATTAAAAGGACCTCGACAGCTTGAGGGCCGTTGGCGGAAGAGTTCCGGCTGCAGCACCTGACGACGACTCCAGGGGGTGTTGCCAGATGCTTATACTGCAGGGGCCTTAATAATTGGAATAGGCTTTTTGGGAGTTCCTTATTATACCTTCTTATAGTATAGTATATCCCAAACCCTATTCTAACTACTAAGTTCCCTCATTACAGGGGCTACGGCTATTTGAACAGGGTTTTGGTTGTGGGTGGTATTTTATATGGGGACGATAGTGGAATGCTAGTACTAATTCTGCCTAAACCCGAAACCCTAAGAAGTTGCCCCAAAGTTCAATCTTGAAAGCGCACTCCTAAACCATACAAGGATCCCCACGAGCCCTCGACTATGGTCCTTCATGATGGGCATTTAGGGTACATTAAAAGGCGGCTGAGGGCTCTAGGCAAACCCAAACTTCAACACCGAAAGCGTTGTCGCCAATTCTGCAACCCAAATAGTAGGCAATTAGCAGGTATTTGAAACCCACAGGTACTGTACATACTATACTATTGCTTGGACCTTTTCTGGCAAACAACCCCCAAAACCCTAGACACTAAACCCTCAACCCTAAGCCCTAACCCTAAACCCTAAACCCACAGGTACTTACTGTATATACTATACTATTGGTTGGACCTTTTCTGGCAAACGCCCCCTAAGTAAAACCCTAAACCCTCCTAAACACTAAACCCTCAACCCTAAGCCCTAAAACAGTAAACCCTACACCCTAAACCGTGGCCCATTCTACAAGCCAAGCCGATCGTGCCTCTTATGCCGCGCCACGCCGAGCGCCAGCCTGCGGCTAACACCCCGAAACCAGAAGTGCTGATTATCTCTACACCCTACTATACCTTCATTATTGTAATGTTGGTTTGGTGCCGGTTATATTCTACTTATACTGAGGAACCCCTAAAACTTTGGGGGTTCATAATTACCGATACTAGCTTGGGGCAAAATAGTATTAATTATTTAGGCCCCTGTATTACTGCAAACCCTGAACCCCGTTGAGGGTTTTGCCGAACCCCCAAAAGGCAAAGGATCTGCATGGCTGGCCCATCAAGAATCTGAGGCAGATACTCGGGAACTGCGTCTATTTAATATAGGCTTTCGTTTGCAGGTTTGGTGGTTTAGGATTTGAAGCATCAGGGCTTAGATGTTGTGGGAACTGTAACCTCAACCTAGCCCTAAAGCATCATTAACACCCCGAAGCCCGCGATTCTGATGGCAAACTCCTTAAAACCTTGCAGCCCTACATGGAGGATCAGGGAACTTAGTAAGTAAGGTGATAAGTACCCTAATAGGTTTATAAGTAGTTATAACTATGGTTACTCTATTTTTCACCCTAGTTACTCAGTCCCATGATCCTTCAAGTACCGTACCTCAACCTAGAATCCATTGGCCCATAGAGGCTTGAGGCCTGATCCAAGATGTCGACCTACCTAGGGAAAGCATTTTGTCTGTTTCGCCCTCATCGTCTGCCGAGTCTTTTTCAGCACCAGCTTCCACAACCAAACGTGCAACCACCATGGTCGAGCTTCCTGCAGCAATCGTGCAACCTCCGAGTGACCGTTGACAGATGCGAGCATGAGTGCTGTTTTGCCCTCGTCATCTGCGCAATCCTTATCAGCACCAGCTTCCAACAGCAAATGTGCAACCTCCCGGTCACCACACTGAGCTGCATGCATTAGGGCTGTCCGCCCGAAACAGTCGCAGCAATCTTCGTCAGCACCAGCTTCCAGAAGCAAACGTGAAACCTCTATGAGGTGACTGTGACATGCTTGCATTAGGGCTGTATTGCCGCCATGGTCCCAGCAATCTGTGTCAGCACCAGCTTCCAGCAGCATACCTGCAGCCTCCACAGAACCGCGTTGACATGCAATCATTAAGGCCGTATTGCCGTCATGGTCCCAACAATTTTTGTCAGCGCCAGCTTCCAACAGCAAGGATGCACTCAAGTCTGCAATCTCGAAGCGATCATGTTCACGTGCAATGCAATGCATTAGGGCTGTCCGCCCAGAACGGTCCCAATTGTCTTTGCCAGCACCAGCATTCAAAAGCAAACATGTAATCTCGATTTCATCACACTGACATGCACACATTAGCGCCGTCCACCCGAAACGGTCCCAACAATCTTTGCCAGCACCAGCTTCTAACAGCAAACGTGCAACCTCCAGGTGGCCTGCAAAAGATGCGAGCATGAGTGCTGTTTTGCCTTCATCGTTTGACCAATCTTTCTCAGCACCAGCTTCCAACAGTAAACGTGCAACCTCTACGTGGCCACACAAAGATGAATGCAACAGGGCTGTCTCGCCGTCGTTGTCTCGGCAATCTGTTTCAGCACCAGCTTCCAACAGTAAACGTGCAACCTCTACGTGGCCACGCGCAGATGAATGCAACAGGGCTGTCTCGCCGTAATTGTCTCGGCAATCTGTTTCAGCACCAGCTTCCAAAAGCAAACGTGCAACCTCCACGTGGCCATGCTGAGATGTGTGCATGAGGGCAGTCAGCCCGTCTTGGTCCAAGCAATCTTTGTCAGCACCAGCTTCCAGCATTAAATGTGCAACTTCCGAGTGACCATTGACAGATGCGAGCATGAGTGCTGTTTTGCCCTTGTCGTCTGCGCAATCCTTGTCAGCACCAGCTTCCAACAGCAAACGTGCAACCTCCGCGTGACCTTCGTGCGCTGCGTGCAATAGGCTTCGAGCAGCACACTCGTGCGCGCCGCCCTGGACAAGACCGGCTTGCAGAAAGCAGCGCACAGTTAGGACATGGTTCCGGTTCGCAGCATCTTCAAGATCTGACTCTGCTAAACGTGCAATAATGCCGCGTTCAAGACCGGGGAGGATTTCGGAGTGTCCGGAGATGGTCAGCAACACCAATTGCAAATCTATGTCTGCATCCACCGTGGCGTCATCAGTTAAGACCCTTCCGCCATGCAGGAGCTGCTGCAGATAAATCGGGAAGCCATACAGTTCACGCAAATGCTTCTTCACAGCACCCGAGTCCAGGAACTCTTCTGAACTTATGGTGGCCAGCAATTGCCCGGATGGTCTCCAAACACGAAGCATCACAGAAGCAGCCGTCGACTGGCACTGTTTCTCAGAGGCTTAACCACAGCATGATGCTTGAATTGCTACTACACGCGAACTCAAACATTAGGAGCAGTCTTCGCTTGCAGTCAGAACATAGCCGTCGGAAGATATGAGCCCAAACCCAATTTGTAGCAGTTACCCTGATGCCCATGTTTGAGGATGTTGACACTGGTTTACGCTGCTGGGGGCTCAGGGTTTAGGAGTTTGGGGTTTAGGGTGGAGCATTTTCTTGAGCGCATGCTGCCGAACCAGTCATCCATTTTGGTGGTGCGGGTGGTGCTGTGATGGGTTTACGACCGCACGGAAGCAAGGGGAACACGGCTGCTAGTTCCTTCTAGTAGATTCTAATCCCTTCCCCTGAACATTCAACCCCCCTAATATAAAAACTGCCGGCCCCCGGAATTTTGCGGTTTCGGGCCCCGCATTCAATTTTAAAGGGACAACATTAGGGGGGGTGGCAGATCTGTATGTGTTTTAATTGAACGAAGACTACAGTAGTACTAAAGACAGCAGAGCTTTAGGGTTTAAGGGTTTAGGGCTCAGGGCTAAAGCTTTAGGGCTTGGGGCTTTAGGGCTTAACGTTTAGGGCTCAGGGCTTTAGGGTCTAGGGCTGGAGGCTTAGGGCTTAGGGCTTTAGTAGGGCTCCAGGCTTAGGATAGCTAGCAGCTGGGAGTCCGGGTACGTGGATGCACCGAACTGAAACCCCCCTAATATAAAAACTAAACCTACGAAATCCAGTTTTTATATTAGGGAGGGGGGGGGAGGCGTTTAATGTTAGGGGGAAGGGATTAGTGAGCACCAAATAGCTACTATATGTAACACAGGTATTGATTTTTCGATTTGCATCTAAGTCCCAAGCCAAACCTTCTGGGTCGTCTGAGGGCTCTGCATACCTTGATTCGAATCATCAACCGTAGATCTGCGCATTGCCAGGGATATACGGTGGCTAGAGGTGCATCTGTACTAGGGCTGTGCATACATCGTCATATGACTACTCCTATCAGCTTGTATATACAAACTCTTAACAAGTCCATGGTTCAGGGAGTTCCGAACTCGAACTTCGTTCTAAGATATTGAAAGCTCGGCTGGGATACATTTGCAGGCGCTGAATTCCCTTGAGCGATCTACTTTTTGGATACTCCCGCGGGGCTGGCTATTAGGCCTTTAAGGAAAGGTCCCAAGCGCCTCGAGCAGGCATTGGATCAGCTGTGTATCGCCGTGGCGGGACTGGGTGGCGAAGAGCAGTTTGCAAGGGGCCCTAAACCCTAAATCCCTATCCCTTTTATGATGGGTCCCTTTAACGGAACCCCTAAAGGAATCCTATAAAGAAGCTCGCACTGTCACTCTCTCTCTCTCTCTCTCTCTCTCTCTCTCTCTCTCACTGGATAGGGAAATCTATAGCTCTCTTCTTCAACAACCGGGCCCCCAAAAGTTCAAACTTTCTACGATAGAGCAAATATGTAAGGCCAAAAAGTTTAAAGCTCCCCCGTTCACTATCTAAGATAGCGATCGATAGAAGTTTGGGGTTTAAAGCTTACTTGGGTGTCCGGGGACTTCGTGAGTAGGATCGCTTCTTAGGCTACGGATAACATCTTCTATCTCTATACTTACTAGTGCTACCTACTTGCTAGGCTTCCCGGTCCTCCAAACAAGGTTGTTGCTTCTTCTGTCTATGCTTAGACCACTAGCAAAATTCATAATATTTTGCTGTTTCTTAGGTGTTATAGGAACCAAATAAAACCTTATTGAATCTACCCCTAAGATGCTGTTTCTTAGGTGGTATAGGGGGCAAAAAATGAAAGCTATTTCAATCTACCCCTGAGCTTTGCTGTAGAAGGCCTGCAACATCCATTTCGACGAACTGAGGGGCCTCCGCCAACGAAACTCTCATCCTGTTCATGTAGTATAGAGTATAATGGCCTGAATAATACTTGGACTAGGCTTTTGGGACCCGCTATTTTATATCTAGAATAAGGAGCCCGCAAAATGGTATTGCTAATTATTTATGCTCCTCTAGTATGGCTGGCTAGCCTTGTCTTTCCCTTATGGAACCTAAAAACGAGTGCACTGACTTAGGGGTTGGGGTTTCGGAGCTTACATGGTTTACAGTTTGGAATTTAGGGTTTGCAATGATGTGGCACTGCAGCCATCACCGATGCGTCGAGTGCTCGGGGCAACCACGAAAACCAACTCCTTGCATACTTTGGGCTTAAACGCGCCCACTGGAGTCTAGTGACTAGACACCAGCTCTTCCTCTAGTCCTAGACCCGAACTAACTGAAGCCGCCAAACCTTATCAACCCAAAAACCTCTCTCTGCATGCTTTGCTACTTTGCATACCCACTCTTTCGAGGTCTTTACACAGTTTGGGGATTGTCACAAAATGACACCAGTGAAGCGCGGGCAGTCGGCAGCGCAGCCAAATGGAGCCTCCCCCATGACGTCCGCAGCATTCACCTGGCTTGCATTAGGCCCTTCCAGCTGAGAGCGTTCAAGTACTTAGAGGAACATGAGACTTCGCAATAACCAGTAGTAGTAGTAGTAGTAGTAGTAGTAGTAGTAGTAGTAGTAGTAGCAGCATAAACCAGGTAGCTATACAGTTATAATATAAGTACTAATAACTTCAGGTGAGGTACTTACAACCTCACTTAATCAGTCCCATGATCCGGCATGTAGCCAAACACGAGTGGCGCTTGGTACCTGAAGACTGGCTTACCCAAGGCTCCAAGTACCATATGGACGTAGTAAGATATAAGTACTTCAGTTGGCGTGGTGAGTAGTTAAGTTCATCAAGTAGTAACTATCTGTCAGTATACTTACCCTATGCATCCAAGGACCTTAGAACGATCCCATGATCCTTCGAGCCTGAGCTTTCAGATCACTTTACCCTATTATTGAGCGAGAAGCCCTGAACTAACCCTAAGGCGTGTGCCCTATGAACCTAGAACTCAAAAGCCCTGCCAACCTATAAAACCCTATAAACCCTATAACCCCTTTATGAGCTCTACAGTCCCTGCGAAAATTCTATAAGGATTCTTCGGCTTGAAAGTTTCACCACCACCCTTGAAACATGGGGTTGTTGTTACAAGCTGTTGCTGGTGTTCGGCGAAACCTGCAGCATTTAAAGGATCAGGGGCATTTGGTAAGTAGGCTATAACAGATACAGAACTAGTAGGGCTTTACACCAAGCACAATTTTAGGTGTTGAGAGCTGAAGGGCATCTGTTTGCAGCTTTTGAGTTGTGGTTGTGTGGGTTTAGACTTCAGGAAACATTAGCTGGTCCGAGATGGACATAGTTAGATCATGATTTGTACATTCCTAAATCTTCAACGAAAGCTGTCCAGGCTCGAAAGCATCAACCCGAAACCCCAAGCCCCTCCGAACATGCGCAGCCTCAGCACCGACATCCGTCAAGAATCTGGTCGTTGCAAGGTGGCCATTGTCCACCTGCAGGCTTTACGCCGTAGTAGATAGGTAGTAAGCTGGCTTCTGGGGACGTGCCCTTACGATCCTGTCGAAACTGATCTATTTCTACCAAACCAGAACACGACTAAGCCCTAAACCCCAACCCCCCCCATAGTAAAACCCTAGGTTGTCTAGAGTCTATAGGGTTTGTAGGGCTTATGGGGTTAATTAGGGTGAATAGGGTTGAGGGTTCAGGGTGTAGCGTTTCGGGTTTTACGAAGTATGGTTTAGGGATGAGGGCGATGATGTGGGAGATGATACGTAGAGCCTTCTGAATCCCAAATGTTCATCTTCATGTTGGCATTGGTTCAAAGGTGCTTAGTAAGCCCAGTGATCCGATAGGTCAGCAACCAAACTCATGTATGCTCTAGCCAAACTACACAAACTACGTATGTACATCGACCCCGAAGCCTAGGCCTCAGAACCCGGCATACCTGGAGATCTGAACCTGAAGCCCAATTTACGTCATAATCCCCCAAGGCCCCACAGTCTGCACTGCATATGCGGGCTGAGACACGGCATGCCACAAAGGACTCCGCTTGTCGGCATCCACTGTGTTCCTCCGAAGTTTCTGGAGCTTTGCAAGGTGTGGTGCTTAGGACTGACGGTTTGAGGGTGCAAGGTTCAAGATGGCTTAACGTTTTAGGGCTTACTTGGAGGATCATGGGACTTACTAAGTATGGTTATAAGTACCTCAGTTGGGGTTATAAGTAGTTATAAGTGTAGTTACCCTCATACTAACCTTAGTTACTAAGTCCCATGATCCTTCAAGTAGAATTTGGGCTCAAGTTTACAGCTTGGGATCTGGGTTTGTCGCTGCATAGGTCTCTGGTGTTCAGTCCACAAAAGGGCATTCGACAGCGCTCTATGTATACCGTAGTCAGCCCTTCAACAGGAACTCCTCAAATACTGGTAGCCTAACGATCTGCCTGCCGGGAAGGTCAGGGGACTTAACTTCACAAGTAGAAACAGTCATTCCGTAGCTCTGCTGCACAGGCTTCAGCGACACAGGCAGCAGAGGCATTGACCAAGAACCAGACCGCAAAGAAAGGGGAACGCTTCGCTTGCAGTAGACGCGCCCGGGAGCCGCCACTGCCGGCGAACCATAAACCTAAACCCTTAAACCCTATAAGCCCCGTAAACCCTATCTATAAACCCTGCAAGCACTACCAATCAACCCTATCGATCCTACAAACCCTACAAGACATGTGAGCTCGATCATTCCTACTATAAGCCCAACAAGTCCTGTAAGCTTTAAACCTAATGAGCCCGATGAGCCCTAGAAGCCCTAAAAACCCTACCCCGACCCCCGAAAGGATCCAAGAAGTAGATCCCTTAATGGGGGTTCCTATATAATTTGTTTTGTAGTATAGGGCCCCAAATTAGGGGATCTACTTTCGAGATCTTCCCAGGGGTCTGGGAATAAGCCCTATAAGCCCTGAACCCCATGTCGGACGATCTGGGTGCAAGACCGGCGAGCACGAGCCCCTAACCTACGCCTTAGCCGGGGCATAAGCCCAAAGCTCTAGGCCCCAGCCCGGGTAGGCTCTAGGGAGGGGGCCGTTTAGGGTGATTGAGATAGAGCTTGGGGGTACGATTTTGGGGTAGACTATACTTGGCCGACTTCTGAACCCCACCTAAAAGTTAAACTTTTAGCCAAAATAATCGTCGTTCATATAGAAACCCAAAAAGTTAAAGTCCCAAGAGCCAACCAAAAGAACACCAAGTATAGCATAGGCTGCAGCTTTGATCCCACAAGTTCAGGGTATTGCAGCCCTTGAACCACTCATTTTTGGATCCGAAGCCCTTTCCATGGCTATCAGGTGACCTGTCTGCACCAGCATCGATCAGGAAGCAAATGACGGAAAAGTGTCCTGTTCTCCAATGGTAAAAGGAGGGACCCTTAATAAAGGACCCCTAGGTATATACCCTTAATATAGCTATTGTATACCCATTATATAGCCCATTATAGGGTAGGGGTCCCCATTAAGGGTCCCTCCTTTTCCCCTTTGATGTTCAAGCATTGGGTTCTCACGGGGTCGGGCTCGGGGCGTTCAGCGTTTCGCACTTGAAGCCTAGCATGTCACTAACATAGCTGCCCGAATGATGGCCAATTCCCTTCCTCAAATTTCTATGCTTGCTTGGGATATAATTAACATACCACAAAACATCCCAAAACCCTATTATAATTGTTACGGCCCCTACTCTCTTCTTCAATAACCAGGCCCCCAAAGAGTACTCATCTTTGTGTAAAGACATGATATGCAGACCCAACAACTATCAGCTTCCCTCTTTGAGGAAGCCTAGACCCAAGAGTAACCCAGGCATAAAAAGGATGCCCTTTTTGGTTTAAAGGGGCTTATAAGGGAACCTGAACCTTAAAAAAGGGAATAAGGGCCTACTCTGGGCCCTAGAAGCAGGCTAAAATGCTGCAACAACCCTCTTGCGGAACCCGTGATATGGACATACATATATACCCCTGCTCAGAACCCTTGAGAGAAGACCTATTCTTATTAGTAGAAAGTCTCCTATATGCGAGTTTCCCAAAATAGGAGACCCTAATATAGCACCCTGAATAGCAGGATCCTTATTTTTCAGGACCCCAAATTAAGGTACCGCTAGTTTTCGGAAACTCTCAAATACTTGGAGGATCATGGGACTTACTGAATATGGTTATAAGTACCTTAATTGAGGTTACAAGTAGTTCTATTTCTAGTAACCCTAATAATTTCCTTAGTTACTAAGTCCCATGAACCTTCAAGTATTCGGATCTGTCAAGGGGGCACTCCTCGGCCCGCCGCAACGATAAGGGCGGTCTGCCCCTTCACGTCGCGCGCCTCCCGGGACAAGGAGGGTTTCGGGTTTAGGGCGGGTAGGTTGCGGATTCGAGTTTAGGGTTTAGGGTTTAGGGTCAGGTTTAAGTTTAAGGCACAGGATTTTGTCATACTGACTCTGTTTATGTTGGTTTCCGGCTTTCTTTGATGGAGGACGCGGGGAGCAAGGGTGCGATAGGAGGATGTGACAAATGCTTTTCATGGTGTTCGGTGGGAGGGTGCGATTTGCTTAGCAGGGGTTGAAGTTTGAAAGTGTTTAGGGTTTTAAATCAGGAATACTCTTTCCGGAAACCTCGGGAAAAGCACGAGATACTCCGAACCACCTGGAGTGCGGCATGACGATCCGTCTGAACCGGCTAGACCATAAACGCCGAAACCTTGAACCCCAACCTCTGCAGCCTGGCAGGCGCAGACACCAGGCATTAGTATTTGGTATTATGATCGGCTTTACGAGTTAAGGATTTGGGTTTAGGGTTTGTGGTAGGGTTGAGATTAGTGTTCATTTTATTTAAACACGAGGTGGTGGTAGTGCAAGGTTCAGGTTCTTCATATACAGGTCCTGTAGAATCTGGGTGTTTTCGGCTGAAGGCTCAGAAGGTATTCTTGCCCTGGTTTCGTGAAATTTAAGATCAAGGCTACGTGGCAGAGTCTTTGGGTTCAGGCTGCAGCAACTCGCAACAAGTCTTCTTGTTTGTCGTAGTATGTACTAACTCTTGTTTGAGAGCCTTTCCAAAACACCACAGGTCGTCTGTTTAGTAGGTGCCTTTTTAAGTGCAGTGGCCTCCTTTCTCCGCAGGCGCCTGCTCTACAGAGCTTGCACTACAACAAAACAACCCTAGTTTAGTATGTATTGACACTGTATTGAACCTTTATTTCATTCAAGGTCTTTGAACGGATCCCACTGCCTGGGGGGTCATCTAGGCTGTTCAGCAACCCACTGGGAAAAAGTATATACCTTTTTAGGCTTCTCATTTTATAATAGGACCCAGACACCTGAAAGTAAAAAAAGTGTACCCCTGAACAGCCTGGTTATTGCTGAACCGCCCACAATCTTGTGAAACTCAACCCTAAAACCTGCAGCCCGAAAATCCGAAACCTCCAGAGCCCGAACCAGATACTTAAAGGATCAGGGGACTTAGTAGCGAGGGTTCCTTAAGGGTTCCTTAAAACGGATCTATAAAGGATCTATAAGAGGGGTTTTAGGCCTACTTGAAGGATCATGGGACTTAGTAACTAGGGTTATACAAAAGGTTACTAAACACATGTTTATTTATGACCCCAATTAAGGTACTTATGACCTTACTGACTAAGTCCCCTGATGCTTCAAGTACACCTTTACCCCGAACCCCCAGCAAGATCCACAAAGTAACTCCTAGGTGAACTACCTCAGAACCCTACCTGTTCCCTTCCTTTTTGAAGACACACATGAACCCTTGAGGCTACAAAACATTCCTGTGAACCCAAACCCTACAAAATAGTAGGTTATGACCCCTTAATCCCCTAAACCCTAAACAACAAACCCTAAACCCTAGACACCTAAAACGGTGGGTTCTTGGATCCATAGGGTTACGGCTTCGCGATTTGGAGCTTTGGGGTCTTGTTGCAGCCCACGCGCCTCGAGCTCGGCATTTGCACCAACCTTTGTTCCCCAAAGTTGCGTTGTTTAATTACTACCTATCTATCTATCTATCTATCTATATATATATATATACACATATTTTTTGGCACTTAAAAATACTATACTGATATATATAGTTAATACTGTATTTACAGTATTATTAGTGGTTGATTGGTTCAACTTCGGGGCCTTGGAATCCCAAAGGGTCCAAAGTACCTACAGTAAACCCACATTAGGGTTTAGGGTTTAGGGAAAGTTGGAAACCGGAGTAAGGCCAAATCGTGCCGGGATTCCCTATACATTCCTCTTGAGGATTGAAGCTATTGGGTTTATGCAAGGTTTCTATATTGGCAATTATGCCATTATGACTTGGGGAAGGGTTTAGGGTTTAGGGTAATTATCCCCCTTGATAGTACCTAGGACCCTTTGGGAATTTAGAGAGTGTGGGGTTAGGACTTCGGGTTGCTATGCATGTATCATGGATTTTTGCGGGCAGGACAGAGGGGGGGGGGGTTACCGAGTGGCCCGGCAGTGGCGCAGGGAGTTGCGGAGTCGGAGCAGATGAGACTTGTAAGGTTTAGGTTTAGGGTTTAGGGTTTAGGGTTTAGGGTTTTAGCCAGGACTTCGTGTTCAGGGCGTAACTTAATTACGGATCGGTTTAGGGTGAGAGAGGTTTGGCTTCAGCTCAACGATGAAGCAACTTGGGGTTGTCCTTGCACATATGGGTAGTTGTCAAAAAAATGGTCCCCTTTCTTGGGTACCCTTAATAGAAGGTGCCGTATAATAATAAGGACCCAAAAACGCACCATGATACGGTTGATGATATAAACCCTGCATTACTTTAAGGACCCTAAAGCATGGGAGTTATGGCATATTCCGTATTATGGGTCATGCAGGATTAATATCATCAACCTAAACCCTAAACCCATGAACCCTAAAACCCTGTATTAGATCCCTGAAAGAGCCCTTTAAAGGTAGCCTTATAAATCCCTTTAAAGGTATCATCAACCGTATTGACACCCACCCCTTACGCAGAACGAGGTTCGGTCCTCGCGAAAATAGAGCTGCATTAACGTTCTCCAACGACGTTCATGGTGATGGCGCGCAAACATGCCCAGAAGCACGGGGAGAGTCGAAATGTAGATGGCTATCCTATTTCAGTTCATATATAAACCTTACTTCACACCGTAATGTCTGAGTCGTTTAATCCTCTGAATGAGATTCGTCACGGGTGTAATGATATCATATACATCAGCCTGCTTTTGAAGGGACCGTATACATCGTAGGTACAAGCAGCACTGTTCATGACCTGTGGTCGAAACTCCCGAAAACCTAATTGGCATCCATGCTGCAAGAAGCCGCACGACCTGCAGGACGAGGAAGCATGGATGGACACCCTAAACCCTATAAGCCCTAAACTCCTAAATCGTTGGATTAAGGATTGTGTCTGGCGATTCCTGCTCAGAGGCTTGGGCTCTTCATTGCTTGGTACTTGAGTAGCACCTTGATAATATAGTATGGCGTACCAGTCTCTTAGAAATAAGCGAACCTTTTTTCCTATACAGCTCAGGAACCTACGCTTTCATGGTTCAGGGATTTCAGGTATCAGAAGCTAGGATTCAGGATTTGCGTCTACCGTGGTTGGGATGTCGGGTCCCAACCCAGGTGGTGCTTGGGATGTAAGGTGACAAGTTGACGAGAGCGAGTTCAGAATCAGAGGGCCCCAGCGTTCCCCGCTTTGCCAGTAAAGCCCCCAACCCGAAAGCCTGGCAGCACGGAGCCCTTTTGGATTTTGTGAAGCCCCTAAACCTTCAAGGATCCCTCAAAGGAGCCCTTAAAGGGACCCCTAAACCTTGTTACCCTTGACGACAAGCCCTAAAGCCTGCCTCCAGCACGCCACCCTCAACCCTGCACTTTAAACCCGATTCACCCTACAAGGCTCTACAAACCCTATAAGCCCTTTTCCTCCTAAACCTAAAGCCCCAAGCCCCTAGGCCTGCAGCATGCCACCCTCAGACGCCAGGTGGAGCGGCCTGCGACCCACACTGTCGGCCTCGGGGCGCGCCGGGAGGAAAACTGAGGTTTTGGGTTTGGCTTGGGCCCTAAGTAAGAAACCCACCCGTTTTAAGATTCCTTATCATGTCATGTTCCTTATGTAAGTCCTTAAACATGTAACGTAGGTCTATTGGGGTTCCGGTGGGTCTTCGAGCTTAGAAGGTTAGGTTTCATTAAGGGTTTTCGGTTGTTCAGTGAAGGGCTTGAGGGTTAGGGTAGCCTCGGGGTTTAGGATTCGGGGATCAGGGTTTGAGGATTGCTAGCACCCCCCAAGTACGCCTCGCTAGAAGCCTGGTGGTCCTGAAAAGTGGGTACTTGCACTCCTAAACCCTACAACCCTAAACCGTGAGCCCAAAGCTAGTTCGACTCTCAACGCCGCAGAGAAAAGTACCCCACCACCATATCAAGCACGATTTAAAGTGGGATTTGGTGAATATGGCATAGATCCAATCTGCGGCCAAGTGATGAGTTCGCAAGCCAAACACCTCGCCTGCATACAGCCCAGCAAGCAGGAGTGGCAAGTTGCAGGGTGGCGGCGGGTTGATGTTCATGAGTCGGAGCTGCTGTGCAACCGTCACCTGCGAGACCCGCTGTTCGCCATGTCCTCCGCTGAGCTTCTCGGGCCCTTTCCGGTTGTACCACTATGGGCTATTAGACCCTAAAGATCCCTATTAGGACCCTATTAAGGGTAGGTTAAGGTACCCATAAGGTCTAATAGCCCATAGTGGTACACGTCCGGCTCGGCTTTGCCGACCGCCTCGTCGTTCGCCCAGCTGTCCCTGCGGGCCATGTCCCGGACGTTCGGCGGGGCCTGTCGCACCGAAGTACACGAAGTCAATGCTGCAGGTGGATCCCTAAGGGTCCATGTACCCAAATAGTATATACTGTGGGCCCAATGTACCTATATAGGGACTACATGAAGGCCAATGTATGTACTATTTGGGCACATGGACCCTTAGGGGATAGGCACGAACTCAGTCCCGTAGCATCCGCAGACAACTTAGTACAGGCAAGGTTGCCGTCGAAACAGCATGGCCTCGGCTTGAAGTGATTATAACAACGGCGCATGTTTCATTTGCACCAATAATTGAAAGGAGCCTGATACGAGCATCTCGCACGTGTTTATGGAGGAGAGGGTACTTAGAGGATCATGGGACTTTGTGAGTAAGGTTAGACGTCCCTTAATTGGAGTTATGTTTTTTGAGTTTGCTTGAAGAGTCTAGTCAGAATTGTGGTATTCTGTAGCAATCGCACGAATACTAGCCGTTGGTCAGTTATCTTGCATAAGGAACCCAGAAACGAAAAGTACAAAAGGCTACTACGTATATTGGACAACCAACCTACCCTAAACCCCAAACCCGAAACCCCTCTAAAGAACCCTGACCCCCGAAACCCTAAACCCCTCTAAGGAACCCTACGAGGAACCCCTCAAAAGAAACCCTGCTATAGACCCCTTAAAGAGCCCTTTACAGGAACCCTTTAAAGCCACCCTTTAAAGGAAGCCAAGGAACCCTAGAAGGAAGCCGTTAAAGGAACTCTACAGGAACCCTAAAATGGAACCCCTTTAAAGGCACCCTAGAAGGAACTAAAAGGGTTCCCTTAAAAGGGTTCCGTTTAAGGTTCCGTTTAGGAAAGGAACCCTGCTATAACCCCTTATAGAACCCTTTAAAGGAACCGGTAACCTTACTCTAGAAGCGCTTTAAAGGAACCCCAAGAGGAAGCCCTCCGAGGAGCCCAGGGAGCCTGGTGGATATCTGCCATGACGTCCACCAGAAAGCGAACGACCTAAGGTTTCCTAGCAGGTTTAAAGTTTGTTGGGTTGACGAATTAGAAGAGTTTTCTTCTTTTAAAGAGAGATCATTTTCAAGTGATAGGGGCCTTAATGATTAGAATAGGGTGTTGGCGCCCATTATTATACGATAATTATCTTGAGGCCCCTAAACCCTAAACCCCTTCAGGACCCTATATTTGGGTCTCCCAGGGGTTTGTGGGGTTTAAGTTTAGGGATTAGGGGGTTTAGGTGGGGTTTAGGGGTTATGGGAATCAGGTTTAGAGTTTAGGGTTTATGGGGTTTAAGTTTAGGGCTTAGGGGCATTATGGGGTTTAGGATGAACCCCAACCCTTCTAGAACCCTGTATTAGAAGGACCCTTACAGCAACCATTATTGAACCCTTTCAAGGGACCCCAAAGCCCTTACGTACCACAGGGACCTTAATAATTAGAATGGGGGGTTTGGGGGCCCATTATACTGTAAACAAACATAAGGATCCCCGAAATAGTACAGGTGATTTACGTTCGGGGTTTAGGTGTTTATGGGGTTTAAGGGCTTACGGGTTTTAGGGAGTGGGGGTTTAGGGTTCAGCATGTTTTAAGGGCTAACGGGTTTTAGGGGTTGTGGGTATAGCGGTTTAAGGGCTTACCCTGAACGCAGAACGAAGGGGATGCATCTTCCTGCGCGGGTTTTGGCCGGCGTTTGGCGCTTCAGCAATTTAGCAAAGATGCCGGGACGTGCATGGTGTCTCGCAGGATGGCGTTGGCTGTCAGAGCGGAATGCCTCAAAAAGGCCTCGTCCACAGGCAGGCCCATGGCACGGCAGCTCGTGAATAGCCTGTGCAGGAGCCTGCTGTAAGCGCCCTCGTCTTCCATATGAATCAGGCAATAGCCTAACTCGTGAAACTGCACCGAATCACCAAATGTCTGGAATTGCCACCGCTTCAAACCCCAGACCCCTGAAACCCAAAACCTTCAAATCCTACCGCTGAGGTTCCAAGTAAATAGCAATCATATACTCTGCCAAATACTAGCCTGCAAAAGCTACTATACCAAGCCCGGGTACTTAGATCTTGCGTCCTCTGGACCCTCAGGGTACAACCGTACGGCCCTGCACCCTAAAAACCCTAAACCCTAAACCCTAACGCCCGAAACCATCAACAGTAAGCCCCGAACGCTCAAACCCCAAAGCCTTCGAACCCCCAAGGCGCTCAAGGGGTAAGCAGCTCCGGTTTAGGGTTTAGGAGTTTAGGGTTTAGGGTTTAGGGTTTAGGGCAGGTTTAGGGTTTAGGGTTTAGGGCTTAGGGTGTTCTGGTGTCAGCAGAAGCCCTGAACCCTCCTGAACCAGGTGTAATATGTGAATGAGCACAACGGCCCATCCTCCGGACGTTTTCGATGAGTCTTAATTACAAGAACTGTACTTTACACGGATTGCGTCCCTTCTTGAACAACCGGGCCCCTAATGAGCTCAACCTTTAGAAGATAGACTCAATATCGAGGGCCCAAAAGTTTAAAGTTCTCCCATTGGCTAACTCCCATTGGCTATGTAAGTTACATTGGAGCCTGAGCAAGGGTGGAAAGATGGAGGATTCCTAAACTCAAAAGGGCTAAAGGAGGGACCCTTAATGGGGACCGCTACCCTAGAATGGGCTATATAAAGGGTATAGAATACCTATATTAAGGGTATATACCTAGGGGTCCTTATTAAGGGTCCCTCCTTTTAATTTTACCCTTGGATAAACCCGAAACCCTAAGGCGGCTTGATGGTTTGGGATTTTGGGCCTCATGATTGCAAGTACGGTCAGAAGTCGGATGGTAACGACTCGTTAGTTCCTTGATCCCTGACATGAGACCCCAAATACAGAAGTCCTACGAAGCGCAATAACCCTACAAAACCCTCCAAGAAATGAATCCTGCAAACCCCCGGTAACGAGAGAAACTACTACAAAGCACCCCTCAACCCCAATCACTAAAGAAACACATGTCGCACCTCAAAGTGCCCTCGACCGGCTGCCAGGTGAAGAGCGCTTTGGCCATTGTTGTCCCTGGACGCCTGCAAGTTTAGGCTTTAGGGGTTTAGGGTTTAGGGGTTCAGGGTTTAAGGTTTAGGGATTTAGGGTTTAGGGGTTTAGGGTTTTAGGGTTTAGGGTTGAGGGTTTAGGGGTTTAGGAATCAACTACGGCTTAGGGCTTCTAATTAGAGGGTTTAGAGTTTGGGGGCGTAGGGCCTAAACGGTCTACGAGGCTCAAACATTTTGATTAAGGTCTACATCAACTGTATGACCTAGTACTTATTGCTGACACTGCCACGGTGACAGTTAGCTATAATCTCTTATCATCATAATCACTTCGCTGCCTAGAACTGATATTGTACAAGACTCTGCAATTCCAAGCGGGTCACGTTGAATGTAACCAAATACTCCCACAGCTAAACAACACTGATGTTCTTGTGGGTCTGGATATCCCGAAAAGGAAACTCTGTTTTACTACTTAAGTCGCGTTTCTTTCTTCCATAAACAACCGGTTTGGGAGTCTCTGGTTATCTCATAGGGATCCTTAGGGGTGTAGGGGGGAGGGGTGTAGGGGACTATATTTCCTTAAATAGGCCTTATTAGTCCTTATTATGGGCCTTAAGGCCCCCTACCCCCCCTCCCCCTACACCCCTAAGGATCCCTATGATTATCCGATTATCCTTAGCTTATTACATGTCCGGAACCTTCTTGGATTGGAGGGTCGTGGGACTTAGTAAGTAGGGTTAAAAACAAGGTACGTAACTATACATGCATGTGTAAGCATATGCAGCTCCACTCCAGTTTAGGTACTTGTCACATCTTATACCTTACCATACTAAGTCCCATGACCCTCCAAGTAACCCAACACCCGCATAGATCCCTAAGCCCTTACGTACTATAGGGGCCTTGTTTCGGGGTATAATACATTATACTTACAATAAGGGACCCTAAAATAGCGTAGGTAATTACCAAGGCCAGCATACTGCTAAGTCCCACGATCCTCCAAGTTGAACTATATGCAAACTCTACAGCTTGGAGCTTCCAGGCTTGAGGGTTCGGGGGCGAGGGCTTACAGAGTTTTTTTCAGAACCTTCTTCCGTCTGCCCCAACTTACAGATTGTAGGGCCTAGGGTTTCATGATCTTTTCAAGCCTCTTGCAGGGTTCTATTACGGTTCTTGTGGGACAGTTGCTTTGTTGTTTCCTTTGTCCGTCTTACGAACTCTTCTCTGCTGGCCCGCGACGCCCCGGTTGGTTTAGTGCTTAGGGTTCCGGTTTCAATGTTAACTTTAGTCAAAGGGGAAAAGGAGGGACCCTTTATGCGGACCCCTACCCTATAACGGGCTATATAATGGGTATATAATAGCTGTATTGGGGTATATACCCAGGGGTCCTTCTTAAGAGGGATTATCTACGCACTATAATACCCAAGAAAGTTGAAGTCAAGGCTAACATAGGTTGCATACGGAGTGCCCATCTGGATGCATGAGTCTTTGAGGCATGGGCAACTGAGCCCCTTAGTTTAGGCATTCAGTGCTTTATTCATTGGGGGGGCTTCATCATTAGAAACGCGTTCCTTTCAGGGCTCCTTTGGAAGCGGTACAGGCGCCCTAACCATTAGCAGACAGAAGGACTCGGGCTGTACATTGTACTAGACATGCATTGGGGAACCTTGATGAATAATGTTTGTAGACAGTAATTACTACTACATTACATAGAGCACTTTGTTGTCCAGTACGTGCATCGAAACATGCACGCTTTGAGTGATTTCAGTGCCAATAATACTTTTTTCGAAGACGCTGTGCCTCCAAACTCGAATGCGAAGATCAGAAACCGCTAAGCCTGAACCACGGCCAAGAACAAACAAGGGCCACTGACCCTAAGCCGCAACCCCCCCTGGCCCTTGAACCCCAAACCCTAAACTCAAAAGAACAAAGCCAGTGAAGGATGTACCCCAAGCCCTACATTGACAAGAATAAAGTCAGGGAAGGATCATATGGGAGTTTCCGAAAATAGGGGACCCTAATGCAGAACCCCAAATAGTAGGATGCTTGTTATAAGGACCCCAAAACAAGGTACCCCAAATTTTAGGAAATCCCCATATGAAAGCCCTCTGAACCAACTGTCTGGCCTTGTCTGCGCCAGCATCGATCAGATACCAAACCTTAGTTGGTTTATAGGGCCGCAAAAAAACACATAAGCAAAACTTAGGATAGGGAAGTCCCATATAAGCCTGCTCACAAGGAAGCCCATTAAGGTAGGGATATCCCTATAAAATGCTTATGCTTATGTGCTATTTTTGGCCCCTAAGTTTAGTTGCCCAGTTCACTTGCTCAGGGCCTAGGGATTGTTTTAAGGGTTGAAAAGAGTTGTATCATCCAAAACTCTAAACCTGAAACCCTGCAACCGTGAACAACACATACATATGTATATATATATATATATATATGCTGGATGCTTCTAAACCCTAGAACCCAACATGCAGTTCAGAGGATATTCAGCCCTAGATCCTAAACTGCTCAAAGGTTCTTACTTGGAGGATCATGGGACTTAGTAAGTAAGGTTATAAGCACCCTAACTGGGGTTATAAGGAATTATAGCTATAGTTACCCCATTTATAACCCCAATTACTAAATTACTACGGTTGATGATATAAATCCTGCATTACCTTAAGGATCCTAAACTATGGGAGTTCTGTTATATTCCTTATAATAGGTCATGCAGGATTTATATCATCAACCGTAAGTCCCATGATCCTCCAAGTAAGCTCTAAACCCAAGTTTGCGGCTCATTGAACCAGGAAGCTTCCCCCAAGCTCAAGAAATGCTTAAAGCTTCTGCAGCCAAGCCCCGAAGGGTTTATGGTTTTTAGGGTTTTAGGGTTAAGGGTTTCAGGGCTTTAGGGTTTAGGGTTTTCGGGTTTAGGGTTTAGGGTTTCAAGAGGGTTCATATGCCAACCAAAACCATGTTTTGAGTGGTCAGTAGGGGTCTGACTACCATTATGGAAGTAGGTCCCTCAAAACCATGATTGGAATGGTCTGCGGAGATCTAATTCCGGTAATGGACGGGCCTCAACAATAATTAGAATAGGGTTTGAGGGTATATTATACGTTTACAATAACGATAGGGAGCCCCCCCAAACATGGTATAGGTAATCTACATTCTCAGACCCCTGGGAGGATCTAGAAAGTAGATCCCCTTATTTGGAGCCCTATACTATACTACTAAGGGTACTTTATAGGAACCCCCATTAAGGGATCTACTTTTTAGATTCTCCAAAGGGTGTGTGGGTTAGTAAGTATCTTTGCACCCTCGGTGTCAGCTGCCAAGAAGCGACTTGCCTCTGACCGTGCAGTGCCGCATAGCACCTTGAGGCTCTTGAGCTCTCAGCTTTTGCTAGGGCTTAATATAGGGTTTAGGGTTTAGGGGTTTAGGGTGTAGGGGTTTAGGGTTTACGTTCAGAGTTTAGGATTTAGGGTTTAAGGTTTTGGGGGTAGGGTTTGTGGTTTACAGTTTATGGTGTGAGGTTTGGCGGTTCAGGTTCTTTGGATACCTTGAACTACCATAATCTGTGGTTTTTGGAAGGTTCCGATTATAAACCCAAGCATAGGACTTATTACAAACCCTAAAGCCCAAGAGTAGGTCTTGTTAGTCTTGAGGTACTTAGAGGAATCTTGGAACGTAGTAACCAGGTTTACTCTAGTTCTATCATAACCCCTTTAAGGTAAACTATAGGGAATCCTACCATTAATCCATATTCCAACTTTCTGGAGTTCCCTTTAATGGAACTCGATAAAGGAGCCGCAAAGCCGTTGCGTCGTACAGACGAACTCCCATGTTCCTGATACGTAGCGTTTCGGATGGAAGCTCTGACTTTAGGCTATACCCCCCTTAGAACCACTACAGTCTCTTGGGTTTTATATGAACAAAAATACAAAAGCAATTTTTAAGGAGACTCAGACTATGGTTAGGGCCTTGTAAGGTGTTAGCGGCTCAGGGTCCTTTAAGGGAGCGCTTTAAGTAGGGTTCTAGCTTAATGACGAAATGAACCCCAAAAGGCTATAAGGTTCATATACCATATAGGGATTCATAGCATAAGGGTATAGGGCACCGAATTATGAGGGTCATCTGGTCCCCAAGGTAGGTCCTAGCATTGGGGCACCACTTCGAGGCCCGAGCACCGGCAAATTGTACTTCTTAGCACTAGAGCATCATTAGGTGTATATGGGGGTTTCCGACAATACCTAGATAGTAGGACCCTTATTATAAGGACCCCCAAATAAGGTACCCCTAATTTTCGGAAACTCCCTGTACGGCTTTGCATTTGTATAGATTCTTAAAACGGGCTTTATAAGGATTCTATGCGGGTCCTCTCGGGCTTTTGAGTGTTCAACGAGGCACGCTTCTCTCAGCGATCATGGCACTGCTCGTCGTGATGAGGCTCTCCATGAGTCCACCACGACTGGCCACCCGTCTGCCACGGCAGTCACCGAAGCGGCTAGCGGTGCTCCTGCTCAAATAACTCAGGAAGAATACAGCTTACCACCATTGAAAGTAGTCTTTATCCCAAAAAGTCTCAGTCGTCTCCGCGCCTCTTCGCATGCCATCTCCCTGAGCAGGCTCCTCCTCCGCCACAGTGTCTCCCGCAACCGGCTGCTCAGCACCGCGACCCCGGCCCTTCTGGCCTTTTTGCGCCCTTTGCGCAGCCTGAAGGAGCCGTCCAGGAAATTGAAGACCCTCTTGAGTCCCCCATCACACAGCAAGCCGACTGGCCTAGAACGATATTGAGGCCCTAGTTCATGAGGTGCTAGGGCTTTTAAAGGTGTGGCGATCAAGGGCTTCGTGTCGGAGGTCAGGGAACAGTTCCCCAAGCTATACATTTCGGAAGCGGCCTTTGACCAAAACGCGCCCTCAACGGAAAGCCTCAAAACAGGAAAGCCACGCGAGCGACATGCCAGCTTCTCTTCACAATTTGGCTTCAAGTTTCAGTTGTAAGGGAACTCTAGATCTAGGGCTTGGGGCTAGGGGAACTCAAGATCCAGGAGTTGCAACCGATGTCTGACGTATGGTTTGGGATTATGGCTTAGGGCTTTAACCCCCAAATCTGGCCCGAGGCCCGGGGCCCTAATCAAAGGGAAAAAGGAGGGACCCTTAATGGGGACCCCTACCCTATAATGGGCTATATAATGGGTGTATAATCGCTATATTAAGGGTATATTACCTAGGGGTCCTTATTAAGGGTCCCTCGACCTAAGCCATCTTAGTCTTTTGCAGGGCAAAGGCTTGCTGCAGGGCTGATGGGAGGCCAAAAGGGGGTTTAAGATTCTTGGGGTAGGGATTCCTTAATATGAACCCTATTATGGGGACCCTAATCCCTACTAGACCCCCATCGGCTAAAACCCCTTTTGGCATCCTATGAAGGGCTCTCTTGACGATTCCCTGCACCGCTTACTTGCGAGGCGCAACTTCCAGGGCGATGCGGTTGCCGAGAAAAACCCATAGCCCATATGTAGAGCCCACTACTCAGAACCCTGAACCGATCGAAGAAACACAATCCGCAAGCAAAGGCTACTTTATCTTCCGCCCAATAATAATGGATGCTTTTTCTGATTTATGGGTCTGGTCAAGGCCATATACTGGAGGGTGGCTGCTGTAAGGCCTTGGCTGCTCTGCTGATTTGGCTTTGTCGAGCTCCTTCATAACTAAGCCTAAACCTCTAAACCCAACATAATAGCCCTTGAGCAAGGAACATACGGAAACAACACCTACCACCTGACCATGATCCTTCTTACTACCATGTACAGTACAAGTAATAGCAATAGTATCGTCCTTGCTCCATGACTTTTGAGTTTCCATGCTGCCTAAACCCTTTTAACCCTAAAGCCCTAAAGGATTGGAGCTTGAAGTTGCTATGAAATGCACGTAAAGTGTTCAAGGCGATCAACACTCAGCTAACCAGGGTTCAAGGTTTCCTGGACCACATTGATATAGGGACCTCAATAATTTTACAGGGTTTGGTGGTATATTATACTATATTTATATTCAAGAACCCCCCAAACTAGCATAGGTAAGTAGTAAGGCCCCTACAGTAAGACGAATAGCTCCAGCCAGGTCACAATGCAGTACATCCTTCCCGGTCGCGCAGGTCTTTGTCTGCCCCTGCCTCAAGTCTGGTTGCACTACCATTGGTACTAGAGCGCGGCTTACGGCTTTGCTGCCCATCAATCCTGCATGACCTGTTTGACCCCAAACCTGTATAGTCTGCAAGGTTTACGGTCCCAACCGCAGAACTTGCCGAAGGGATCTCGCAATCACACACAGACCTGCAGTGATACAATCACGAAGACAATCAACACGAAACACTTACCACATGACTCGGAAACGATCTCCGCATCTTCGACAACTAGATTGGTTAGTAGGGGGCACAGGAACAGTCTGACTAACGAAACTCGTAACGAAACTCGTAACGAAACTCGTAAGGGGTGTATGTTTAGTTGGGACCATTCCACACTCTCGAAAGCTTCGATGTCTCTACCCGAGGAGAAGGTTTAGTGCTTAACGAGTCTTGTTAAGCGGTCGGGAGTCTTGTTAAGCTGTCTGGTACAAGCCTGCAGACCCACTCTAAAATACTCCCGCTCACTCAGTTGTAAATGATCCATTCAATCACTTCTGTCCATCTCGCTGCGTGCGATGATCTGTCAAGCGATCCTCCCTCTTCGAACCTGAACCATTCATAATCGACATCATCTACGTGGACATTGGTGCTGTGTACACTATTTGGCCTCACTGGCCCTTTTCAAAAAAGCACTCGCGACACGTTAACCCTGATTCCTACACCCAAGGAACCCTAAACCCTAAACAACAAACTATTCTACTATTTGCTTAAGAACCCCCAAAAAATAAAAAATATATTCCTTATAGGGATAATATAGGGATTATCATTTTTATTTTTTCGGGGTTCTTAAGCAAATAGTAGTATTGCCGTAGCCCACGTGCAGCCAGAACCGGTGCAAACCCACTTTGCAGCCCCTGATTGCTGGATCATCACTCTGGACTTGCCGCCATCAGACTGGTGTAACTGTTTAGAGACTCTCGCAGTGCGGAGCCCTGCGCTAAACCCCCATGGACCCAAACTAAATCCTAAACCCCTCAACCTAACTCCCCAAAATCCACAAGTCCAATGCCCGACCCCCAAGTGTTCCACTGCAATCTCCAACCCTGAATAGTATTGCTAAAAATCCTGACCCCTCGATGTCTAGTCTCGATTGCAAACCCCAACTGTACCCTAAGCGATACGGACCCAAGGTTCTGGGTCCGCACTCAGAGGATCATGGGACTTAGTAACTGGGGTTGTAAATAGGGTAGCTGTAGTTATAACTGCTTAAAACCCAATCAGTGTACTTATAACGCTAGTTACTAAGTCCCATGATCCTCCAAGCAACCCTAAAACCAAAACCTGAAACCAGAAGCTCGACATCCTATCCTTAATCTCTACTTGGAGGATCATGGGACTTAGTAACTAGCGTTATAAGTACCCTGATTGGGTTTTAAGTAATTATAACTACAGTTGCCCTATTTACAACCCCAGTTACTAAGTCCCATGATCCTCAAAGTAACCCCTAAACCCTAAACCCTAAACAACTTCGCAAGGAAGCCGGGAGGAGCCTCCACTAAGTACTTTGCCACAGCGAAGTTCCCCTGCCTGTGTGCAAGAAAGCCTAGGTTACCCCGTACCCCCTGTTTAGGGGTTCTACAAGTTTCGTTCGCGATTCTACTCGGGTTTGATAGCAGCTTACCCAGTAATCCCTCAAAACTGATTCCGGTCTTAGGGGTTTACATGAGGGTTCTGCAAAATTGACGAAGTTTTGATGCGCTGGAACGGTACTTTAGGGGTTCCTACGAGTTCGATCGGGATTCTACTCTGGGTTCCTCAATCACGTAAGAAAAAAAGAGGGTAGCCTTTTTCATTCGGTTCAGCCTCAATAGTAAGGAGAGGGCATCTTCCCTCAATAATGAGGAAAAACCCTCAAAAGGGCACCAGGGCACTACGAGGGACACCACTATGACACCCATTCAGATCGAGTACCCTTTAGTAATATAACGGTGATGATATAAATCCTGCATTACCCATAATCAGGAATATCTTGAGGTAATGCAGGATTTATATCATCAACCGAAGGTCCCAGAGATAGGAAGCTGAGCAGTAAGTACTTGTAAGATGTTAGCAGCTTGAAGCAACAACTGGGCTAGATTATGCTGTCTGATGTTGAACATCACTTGCTGAGTCCTCTGACCCGTTAATGAATCAACATCTTCGTGCATAGGAACCATGAAACTTAAAACTTCAAACCCTTAAGCCCTGAACCCCGGTAAATCCTTAACCCTAAACCCTGAAACCCCTAAACCCTAATAGTACCCTTATACACCCCTTGAAGGAACCCTGATTTTATCCCTTTAAAGGATGAAAGGAACACTAAACGATCCCGCTAAACCCCACAATCCTTAACCCTAAACCCTTAATCCTGAAACCCTAAACCCTAAACCCTTAAACAATAAACCCTGAAACCTTAAACCCCACCACTGACCTCAGACCGCAGAGGCTCAAGGGTCTGCCTGGGGAGGCTCGGGTAGCTCTCAACGAGACAGCTACCCAGAACTTCCAATATCCCTTAACTCAGGAATATACCGTAAATTATAGTAGGATCCCTGATATGATTTAAGGAATATTCCTTAATTAAGGGATATTGGGGTCTCTGGGACACAGAACTTCCAATATCCCTTGACTTCCCTTTGCTTTCTAGGGCATGGAAGACAGGTAGTAGCAGTTATAATTGTACCCCTTTCCTCCATTCCCTACAAATGGTAATTAAGCTAAGTTAAGTTGGAGAATCATGGATAACCCCACTAAATGTAAGAAGTCACCCCATTCTGCCAATACCCTCTGAACTCTTCGGCAGCCCAGGTGCTGAGCAGCAAACGTCAGAGGGCTGCGCTCGTTCACATCGGACCTATTCACCTCGGTTAAGGGCTCCTACAAGAAACACCTGCTTCCATTAAGGGTTACTTCTTATATATTCTCATTACGTTACGAACTCGCGATACATGTTTACCGACACTATACCCCGATGCTCAATACACATTTATTTTATAATATATTCTGCCCCAGAAATCCATATCGAAGGTTTCAAGACCTCAATCCATCCAACAAGGCACAAGCCCTACAATCGGCAAACACAGCAAGATGCGGACGAAAGTAGGCTTGCCATTGGGAGGTATGTTGCGTTATTGATCAAGCGAAACATAGTGAGGGCATAAGGCCACAAGCCCAAACGGTTGAGGGTTCGGGGTTCAGGGCTCTAGCTGTTGATCGTGCCTTTTTCACCGAATCCACTGATGTAGATCCTTGACTAATTTAGACTATCCCGTCCTCAACAATACAGAGTTGCATAACTCATGGGTTCTTGTTTATGAAACCAATATTAGATACCCTAACGGGATCTAGGCCCCATAACCCTGAAACCTAAACCCTCTGTGAAGAAACAAGTCAAAGAACCCCTACTCTACCTACAGGGTCATACCCTACCCTTTTGTAGGGTGCTTAATTTTTCTGTATAACAGATCCTAGCCATAGAGCTAGCTATTTTAGACAATTGCTAGGGTATTACACTTTACCTCAACCTACCAAACTTGCTTTTTTTTGTAGGTAGTGATTATGATCGCTAGTTTGGAGTTTAAGATAAGGACCCTACCCTATATTCTACTCTGGGCTCCGGAAGCCGATCTCAAAAGCCTCATGTTGGGGTTTAGGGCCTTCAAGGTTTACAGGGTTTCAGGCTCAGGGTTTACAGGGAACTCCAGAAAGTTGGAATATGGTTTCATGGCAGGATACCCTATAATTTACCATTTAAGGGTTAGGATGATCATATTCCAACTTTCTGGCTTTTACCTTAAAGGTTCAAATATTTAAGATTGAGGGTTGTAGACTGATTCTGAAACCCTGAGTCCCAACGGTCTAGGGTTAAAGGGTTTACGGGTTTGGGGGTGAGCGGTTTAGGGTTTAAGGCTTTGCGGGTTCAAGGCGTAAAGGGCTTAGAGATTGCTGGCTTGCGTTTGGGGCAACCTTCCCATTCAGTTGGGTATTTCGGGGTTTTGTGTTGAGGGCGTGGGGCACAGGTGTGTGTGTGTGTGTGTGTGTGTGTGTGTGTGTGTGTGTGTGTGTGTGTGTGTGTGTGTGTGTGTGTGTGTGTGTGTGTGTGTGTGTGTGTGGGTGTGTGGGTGTGTGGGTGTGTGGGTGTGTGCGCGTGTGCGCGCGTGTGCGCGCGTGCGCGTGTGCGCGTGTGCGTGTGTGTGTGTGTGTGTGTGGATTGGGTTGTATGAGTTTGTGTTGAGGCCTGATGTTGTGTTTTGGGGCCTTAGCTTAGACCCTTGCGTGCAGACTTTGAGCGTGACGATTTTGGGGTTTCGGTTTGCATTCGGCGCCTCTGGTTTAGGTCTTAGTTGCCTGCCGGTTCTGTTGATGCATATGTACAATTAATTATATACAAACAAATCATGATTAAGTATAATCACACAGGCCTGCGTGTGGCACAGCTTGTTGGATCCTGATAACATGGGAAACCTAGATTGTCAGGATGTGCTGTGCGCAAATATCCAGAATCCTGAGGAAACCTGTTGTCTGAATATCTGCGTCCGATTTTTTGGTACCTAAATAAGACCCTGCTGCATGTACTTGGACGATCGATCAACAATATTAAGAGCCACAACAAGCTAAGAACATTTCTGGTGACAAACACGACTTTTGGGCACGGTAAACCCGCAACACCACACCTGTACACCCTGATATCATCTAGTCACGAAGCACCTCCCTGGAAAGCTATGAGAGCCGAGACGCATCAGAAGTGACATCGATGAGGAATCGGACGATCTCGCAGTAGCCATGCCTTTGTTAATAGACTCCTTGAGGGGTTCGGGCTTTCACGGGTTTACGGTCGCACGGTTTAGGGTTTAAGATTTAGGGCTTCATAAACACCAGAAAACCGTTGAAACCTAAAACCGCAAGCCCTAAACCCATCTGCCACCAAAGAACTGAACAGAAAACCGTAGCAACCTAAACGGCTTTCATTATCTGCCACCAAAGCACTGAACGGCTAAGGACAATGGAGTGTTCCCAGAGTCGTCCGCCTGCAGCGGCTTTCGGGCAGAGCTTCCGGAGGTGAATTTGCTTTCATACTAGGCTGTTAGGGTGCAGGGTTTAGCGGGGTACTAAGGTTTAGGTTTTAGGGGGTTCAGGGTGCCGTGTAGTGTTTAGGGTACCCCACTGGGAAGAAGTAGATACTTTCTTGGGTTTGCTGGCAAAGAGAGTCTCTCAGTAATATAGGGGCCTTGACAAGACAAAAACCTGGTTTCTGAGGTATAATATGGTAGGGCTATGATACGGTTGATGATATAAATCCTGCATTATCCAGAAATCCCATAGTTTAGGGTCCTTAAGGTAGCAGGATTTGTATAATCAACCGTAGAGAGCCCTCCGGAAGTGTTCGTTACTCAAGTCCCTAAACTATTTGTTTTTGGAATCTAAGCATCCCTTGCTACCGCAGGAACCCGACTCGAATGCTCTGCTCCAAGATGTTTCATGGTCTATGACCTTTATGCATTTATACTTGATTAGATCTGATCTTTGGGGTGTTTAGGGTTCAGGTGTTTAGGTGCTTAGGGTTTGGCGGTTTGGGGCTCAGGGTTTAGGCTAAGGTGGGATGCAAACTAACTCCACTCCTCCATGCTGACCAACGCCCAGCCACTCACATCGCGGCACCAAAACACACGCCTTTTGTAGATCCCTTAAACGAATCCTTCAAGAAGTCCGTAAGGGAACCCTATAACCCTAGCTACTCGCTAGTTACTAAGTCTCCAACTGAGACTTCCGACCTGATCTTTGTCAGCACCAGCATCCACCAAGCGCCACACCTCGCAAGAAGCCGGGGTTTAGGGTGCAGGGGTTTGGGGTTTAGGGGCACGTGGATTTTCTACATAGTTCTCCAGTACTGTATTCTAGGGCAGCTAAATGATCAACCTTTGAGATTGCTACGGGTTTCCTCTTACGTACTCTACCGCTAAGTATAGGGCTTGGCAAACGGCTTTGGGGTTTAGGGTTTGGGGTGCAGGGCTCCTTTGATAAAGGGTCTGTGGCTTTGGAAAGGGCAGGGAATCAGGGTTTACCTATAGTCTCCATTGCAGTTCCTTTTTGGGGCTACCTTATAGAACCCTAGTTATATAACTGGTTAAACCAAAAAAAGGAACTACAATGGAGACTATACTAAACCTAAGAGTAACCTAGGAAGAAAAAGGGTGCCCTTTTTGGTTTATAGGGGGTTATAAGGGAACCTGAACCCATAAAAAGGGAATAAGGGCCTACTCTGGGTCCTAGTATAGGTAGGGTTCCGGTAACAGGGGCCTCTGGGTCTTTTTTAGGGTGTAGGGTTCCGGCAACAAAGGGTTCATATAGGGCTTTAGCATGGGCTTTGGGTTCGGGGGTTCGTCCGAGGGCTTTGGGGAAATTTTGCTCGTCCACTAAAAACACGTTGAGCCGTCATGTCCAACGTAAACTCTTGGCTTCTCGGCATGCCTGTGGCTGAAGAGGCACGCTCCGAGCGGCCGGAGCGGCCGCGCCGCCATGGCGCCTGTGAGGTGTAGGTGCGGTCGCGCCTGCGGATCCACCCAACAGGGTTGTTATCAAAATTAGAGTCCCTTTTTGGGTACCCTAAATAATAGGTGCCGTATTATGTTAAAAAGGGACCCTCATTTTGACAACCCCCCAAAAGCCTACCCGGAGATCTGGTCTTTCACGAACACGCCCGTTAGTGAGCAGGACCGGCAAGGCCAGGGCAGCGCCGATGGTCGCGGCAGTCGCCCGTGATCATCCCTTCAGTGCGGCGAAGGAGCCTGGGACAGCCGCGAATGTAAAACTTGATGCTGCTATCCGGCATGCCACTACCCTAAGGCCCCAAAGTAGTGCCTTTTTGGGGTTCGTATATAGAATCCTATAAGGTAATCCCAAAAAGGAACTACTTTGGGGCTTATGGGTAGCACGGCCGGACGGTCCGAGAGGCAATGCTTCCACCAATATGTGTGCCTGTGACACTCCGCAGCGAGCTGATCATCCTTAAGAGTCCTAGGTACCTTAGGTACCTTTATGCGGGGTAGTCCTTTCTACCATGTCGGTGCTTAGGACCCTTTGTTGTTTATACTTGGAGGATTATGAGATGTGGTAGCTACGGTTATACACAAACGAACTGTGGTCATAATAACCTATAGCCCCAAACGAGGTACTTTTAACCTTACTTACTACGTCCCATGATCCTCAAAGCAACCCTTAACCCGCATAATACCCCTATAGATCCCTGAAAGGGACCCTGTATAGATCCCTTAAAGGAGCCCTTGTCGAATGGATGGCTCGTCGGCGAACAATTCTAGGAGGTGCTTTTAAAGCCTTTGAAAAATATTAGTAGGTAAGATCCTCTTAAGCCCAATAAGGGAAAATATAAAATGTCCCAAAGCCCTACCTAGGATTCCTGCTAGCCTAGGAATAAAAAGGGTGCCCTTTTTGGTTTAAAGGGGCTTATAAGGGAACCTGAACCCCAAAACAGGGAATAAGGGCCTACTCTAGGTCCTAGGAACAATTCCTGCAACGACAGCAACGTCGTCTTCGGAGGAGGAGTCCCAGTCTCGTAGAGCCCTTCCTTAAGGACGAAATGGGCGTTTCCGAAAATTAGGGGTGCCTTATTTTGAGGTCCTTATAATACGGATCCTACTATATAGGGTACTATGTTAGGGTCCCCTATTTCCGGAAACTCCCAAATGAGCTCTGAAGGGGTTTAAGGTTCATATACCATACAGGGTTCACAGCATAAGGGTATAGGGCCCCTAATTCTGAGGGTCATTTGGTCCCCAAGGTTGAAAGAATCTTACTGCTCATCACGGTCTGCCAGTCTACTCTTATTATGCCGCCTGGGAACAGGTTACCCTACTTAAAGGATCATGGGAGTTATCAACTAGGGTTATACGTAAGGACACTGTAGTTGTAACTACTTATAACCCCAAGTAGGGTACTTATAACATTGCTGACTCAGTGCTAACCCTGAAATAGTCCCTGCACAGACACCCTATCAACCCCAAGCACACCTTAACTCCCAAGTCCCCTGATCCTCCAAGAATTATAGAATCCTTAAGGGAGGGTGGTTCAAGGGGGGAGGGTATAAGGAATCCTTAGGGGACTGTAAGGGAACCTTGGGGAGTACTAGGGAGAATTAGGGTTCACTAGGCTATATACCCCCCTTGGATCCCCCTCCCTTAAGGATCCCTACAAAAGAACAAGCTCAAGCCAGGTCGCCACTTGTCGGTGGCCGTGGGCAGCCGCTGTACACAAGGCAGAGACGCCTCTTCGGGTATCGACAGAATTATAATGGAGGGGTCGTAACGATGTTCCAAAGGGTTTAGAACAGCTGTAAGTAAAGGCGCAATAGCGGGTGTAATAGGAGTGTGGTATACCTGCAAGAGGAACATTGCCGTGTATTCGTTGTGGACTTAAGGCTTTTAATGCTTCTGGGCTTGTGTAAGGTGTGTAGACCGTGCTTCGAGGGCTTCAGCTATGACGTTCTACTGGTCATTATGGGAGTTTCCGAGAACTAGGGGCACCTTATTTTGGGGTCCTTATAACAAGGATCCTACTATTTCGGGTACCATATTATAGGGTCCCCTATTTTCGGAAACTCCCAACCCTACACCCTAAACCCTTTATAGAACCTTTATTATAGACCCCTTAAAGGAACCCTTAAAGGGTCCCTTATTTTTGGAAACCCCGGAAACTCCCTAGCACTCTTCGGGTTACGAACGGCGGCTTCTGAGTTCCCTGGTGACAAAGGGATTTGGGGTTTCGTGCTTAGGGTCTCGGGTTTAGGGTTTGCGGTTTAGGGTTTATAGGGCTTCGTGTTTAGGGTTTGGGGTTTATACTGAACTTAGAACCCTAGCAAAAATCACAATTTTAGCTGTATCTTAGGGATTATAATAACCAAAAATTAAAAGTTATTTCTAAGTACCACCAAGATTCTCATTTTCCAGGAGACGTCCCCAAAAGACAGTCGAAGTCACATGCCCAGATCCTGAACTCCGAAACCTAAACGTCTGAAACCCTGGGTCTTCTTTAGGGTTTAGGGTTTAGGGTTTAGGGTTTAGGGTTTAGGGTTTAGGGTTTAGGGTTTAGGGTTTAGGGTTTAGGGTTTAGGGTTTAGGGCGCATACAGAAAGAGGCCATAATAGGGCTACTATTAAGGTCCTACTATAACTATACTATGAATATACCCTACTTGGAAGATCATGGGACTTACTAATTTGTATGGTTACAAGTACCTTTATTGGGGTTACAAGTAGTTATAAGTATAGTTGCCCCAATAATAACCTTAGTTGCTAAGCCCCATGATCCTCTAATAGGTCTTCTCCATGCTGGTAGGGACGATCGTCGACAACAAACGAAGCTGAGATGGAGCCTCTCCCATCCTTGGCGTTGAGATCCGTACCTGTCTGATGTGTGTACAAGTTTACATGTGAATATATCAGTATGGAAGTAAGTATGCATGCCTGTATGGTTGTATTGAACATGTGTACGCATATCATATATATATATATATGTAGTACTTGTCTCTACTTCTACGCCACGTACGTATGCGTGTGTAAACGCTCAGCTTCATATTGACAAAGGCTTACATGACGTCAAGGTGAATGCTTCGGGGTCTCTCGGCTTTAAGTTTTGCAGTCCGGATCTTCAGCACATGGGCCACGAGGAAATATTGAGCCAACATTTGCCAACTTGATTGATAATCCTCCTTGTCCAGTCCCCTAAGGGATTCAAAGGTTAACCTTTGGGATTGTATAGGGATGATTATAATACCCCCCAAAAAATGTTACAGGTTACCTACTCTACTTCAAGGAACCTGAGGTGTCCCATTAAGGCTCTGGCTTCGACCAGCACATGCGCTTAAGCCTCCATGCAATGCTTGAGACGATAACAGCTCTACTAATTCTACAAGCTTGCTGCGTAAACCCTGTATAAAGAGGGTATCCTTCTTCCTAATAATTAAGTCATGATAAGGGGTCCCGGATACAACAAGGGTAAAAGGGTACTACTCAGTAACCTCGACCCAGACTATTTCTAGTACCTAACGCCGACACTCACACTCACCAGCTCCGAACTCCGAAGACGCAAGAAGACCCTAAACCCTAAAATCCGAAACTCTAAACCCTAGCCCAAAAGGTGCATAGGAAAAACATGGCCCCCAGAGTTCGAGCTCCACCCTCCCCACCGCCACCCCGAACCCTCACGAAGATCCAGGGACTTCTTACGAGTACACTAGAATCACTACCTCTACTATTGTGGGTGTTCCTTATTGTATTTATAGTAGTATAGTGGGCCCCAAAACCCTATTCTAATTATTAAGGCCCCTATATACTATTCCGACGTACAGTTCCGAGGACAACGTAAGTCAATCAACGAGCTTATCATCGAAAATGTTGCTCGTGTAAGCTCAAGTAGAAGGTTTAGTATCTGCAGGGTTTTAAGTTAAAACGGATGCGCGAACGAAATTTCAAAAGCATGTTTAAAGTTAAGGGGTATTGAAACTCTACTTTCACTTTCGGTGTATCTTGATCTTTCCCTTCCTCTTGCTCTTGTTCTTGCTCCTGTTCCAGATGCGTCATCAGCAATGGGCTTTTGAGTATTTTAAAGTCGGGACTAGAAGGGAAGGCTGCATTCTACTACGAGCAGTTATCCAGACCCCTAGCCCTTATCTATGTTAACCCTTGGCGGAACTGCATGGGAGTGTGTAATTAATGGGAAACCTCTAGTTCCGGCTTTACCTAGGCCCTGAAGGATATAAAGGCCCTGAAAAGCAGGGGCCCGATACCCATATGGGAGTTTCCGAAAACTAGGGGTACCTAATTTTGGGGTCCTTATAACAAGGATCCTACTATTTCGGGTACCATATTATAGGGTCCCCTATTTTCGGAAACTCCCATATGAATCCCTATATGGTATATGAACCGTAAGCACTTTTGGGGTTCATGTCGTGCTTAAGGTAGGCCTGAAAGCCCTAAGCCCCAAACCCCTAAACCCTCTACCTTAAGCCCTATTACACTCAACCCTGAACTCTTAAAGTACCCCTACAGATCCCTTACATATAGGGGCCCTATAAACCCTTAAGGTAGAGAAACTCCCACTCCGCCTGCAGCGATCAGTGCCGTGGCTTCCTTCAGAGACAGTTCAGAGCCGCATGCGGGCTTCTCTGTCTGGTTTAGTAGGGAATGGGGGCCTCAATAATCAGAATAGGGTTGCTTTAAAGGGATCTATAAGGGTTTTCTTAAGGGTTCTACAAGGGATCTCAAGGGGTGCTTTGTGCGGAGTGGGGAATGGGTCAAGGGGGCTACTATTGGGGATTATTTAGGGACTACTATAGGGATCCATTCCCCCATTCCCTAACCCCTACACCTTCTAGATCTCCTTCAGGGATCCCTTGAAGAGACCCTACTGAGAGGATCATGGGACTTACTAAGTATGGTTATAAGTACCTTAAATGGGGTTATAAGTAGATATAAGTATAGTTACTCTCATAATAACCTTACCTACTAAGTCCCGTGATCCTAAGTAAATCCTCAAAGGGATGCATTCCCCCATTCCCCACCAAGCACCAGGCAGTTCTGCGTTCCAGGGTTCAGCTTCTAAGAGGCGGTGGGAACTACCCAGACCCCCGGGAGGATCCAAAAAGTAGATCCCTTAATGGGAGTTCCTATAAATACCCTTACTAATATAGGGCCCCCAAATTAGGGGATCTACTTTCTAGATCCTCCCGGGGGTCTGGGTAGTTCATGGTTGGGATAGGGTTAAAACTGCACATGTTTATTCCTTATTGGGTTGACGTACCCATAAGCATGTAAAGTGCTACCCAACAATGACAAAGGGAAATGGTTTCAGTGTAGAGAAATGTAGGGTTCTATGGTTCAAGATCTTGGGATCATGGCTTTAAGTTTGGGGTAGTTAGGAGTGTCAGGATTTAGCAAGTCTTTGGATTGCCGTTTTAAGAGCATAAGAAAATTGGGCTGTCGATCCCAAACGGTCGTACGTACTGTTATGGGGGATACTTCCTTATGTCACGAAAGTAATTCCTAGTATGGAAACCCTATCGGTACATAGGGCCCTTTGGGGATTTAGGGTTACAGGAACACTTTGGCTGAATTAGAATATGGCTTGGGTGTACATCGCTATCAGAAGTTGCCCGAAGGACTACTTTTGCTTTCTTTTACTCGTCATGTTACGATTATTGCTATGGCAATCATCGCTATTGCTCTTATGATTAATTACAGGCCCTACATGGGAGTTTCCCCTAAACCCTGAACACTTGACGTCTTTATGTCTAGGGTACTATGTTACAAACTGTCAAGGGAACGGAACTTAAGACATATCTCGGATCGAGACCTCTGGCACAGGGCCTTTTCGGTCGATGTAGGTTTCACCGACCGAGGTCTATGAACAAAAGAAAGGTCAACGGAGACCCAGAAGAGCTCAACAGTCCTCGGAAAAAGAGCAAGCATTGGGCATTCGATGGTTCCAAGGCTTATGGGGCTAAGGCATCCATGAGTTGAGGGTTTATGAGGTACCTGCTCATGCCTACATCGTAATCTGAACGACCCCAAGTAAACCCCATGCTCTCTGAATCCACATCCTGATAGTAAACTCTGAGAAAGCCCTAAACCGTAATCTGAAAGACCTTACTAACTAAGTAAACCCTGGAACCCCAAACAAAAGCTCTCTAAATCCTGAACCCTCATAGAACCGGGACCGAAAAGAATCCTAAGCATTGATCGAACCCTACACAGTGAAGGCTTAGAAGCCTTAACCCCCAGAAACTTTGCAACACACACACCAAAAAATGCGCCTCCAGCGCACCGCCCTCTGCAGCACAGAGAAGTGCCTTTCAGACGGTCTTTAGAGGCGACTGAAGGCTTTACACCGGGGCCTTCACATGCGTGGTTGTCAATATTATGGTTCCGTTTCCCAGACCCCCGGGAGGATCCAAAAAGTAGATCCCTTAATGGGGGCTCCTATAAAGTACCCTTAGTAGTTTAGGGCCCCAAATTAGGGGATCTACTTTCTAGATCCTCCCGGGGGTCTGGGTTTGGGTACCCGAAAAATATTAGGTGCCGATAAGGACCCAAACAGGGACCCTAATTTTGACAACCACCCACATGCTGAATACGGGCTGGCTACGGCAACGCTGGGATGGGGAGTGCCGCTCTTTCAAGACAGGTCATCCCAGACATGTTGCTAGGATCCAGGGCTGCATAGACGCCTCATAAACTTGAGGATGCCCCAGTGACTTGGTCCCCTAAACCCTACTTCAAGGATCATGGGACTGAGTAACCACCTGCTTATAACCGCCATTAAGGTATTTATAACTATACTTAATGAGTCCCATGATCCTTTAAGTAAACCCTAAACCGATCCCGGATCCCAGGGCCTTCCGGTGGTCTTTGCCTTCTTCGATCTGCTTGGAAAAGAGCGGCACAGCCTCCTCCAAAACGGAAAGTATGGTAGGGTTTAGGGCTTAGGTGAGGGTAGTTCTCTGAAAATGGTCTAGTTTAAAATTGAATACCAACAACACCCAACAACCATGCAAACTAGGGTACCTTGGACCTCAAACCATACTATTTCGGCACTTGGAGCCTCCAGGCAATGAGACCGAACCCCTAAACCCTTACATTAAGGACGAAATGAAGCTTAAAAGGGTTTAAGGTTCGTATACCATATAGGGATTCATAGCATAAGGGTATAGGGCCCCTAATTATGAGGGTCATTTGGTTCCCAAGGTATCAAACCTCACGAGAGCCTCCTTGTCCAAGACGTATGGAACCCTGTAAGAATTCAACACGTCCTTAGTTGCTGAGTTCATAAACCCCCAAAAGTGTACACTTTTAGTTTTTTCGTGGGTGATATTATCCCACAAAGTGTAAAGTGCCTCCACTCAGCTACTAAGCGTCTGAGCCATTTGCCCTCATTTTGGTGGGAAGCCAGAGGTTGGTCAGTTTAAGGCTCCCAGGAGAGCTTTGGTGGTACTTCAAGGATCATGCGACTTAGTAACTAGGGTTATAGATTAGGGTAACTATACTTAGAACTACGTATAACCCCAACTAAGGTATTTATAACTATACTTAATAAGTCCCATGATCCTCCAAGTAGGGTGTTAAGCTTGCCTGTGGTTCGGTGGAGATATGGCTAACTACGGTCGTTGTTTTGTGGCTTGGGGCTTAGCAAGTTAAGGGTTTCGGGTTACAATGACCCTCCGATTGACTTTTTATCGAGCTATCAAATGGGAGTTTCCGAAAATGGGGGGCCCCTAATATAGTACCCTAAATAGTCGGATCCTTATTATAAGAGCCCCAAAATAAGGTACCCCTAATTTTCGGAAACTCCTAAATAAGTAACGCAAGTTGCTCTGCAACCTAGGAAGAATCTGGCGCAGAACTCTCTACGATTCTGCCGGATGCGCATGCTCCTGCGAGGGAAAAAGCCCTTGCTTTGCAGGGTTGTAACATGGGGCGGCCTTTTGAGTTTTCCCAACGGGTCCAAAGCACCTATATAGTAGAATGTAGGGTTTCTATAGTGGGAGTTACTATTATGATTTGGGGAAGTATCCCCCATAACAGTACCTAGGACCCTTTGGGTTTGTAACAGGTTTCTAAGCTTTGATTTCTGGAGTAATAAACACCACCAGGTCGTTACACTCTTTAAAACGTCGCGCCCTTGTGGTGCATGCTTGCGTTGGCAGGTTTTGTCAAAAGGTGTCCTGCTCGTGTAGAACATGTGGAACTGCTTGCACAAAAACAACTATTACAGGCCTAACCACATGCGATTCATGAAAAAACCCGGAAATCGCGGCCTCAATGACGTTGTGCTTTAGCACAAACCTCTAAAGCTTGATTGAACAGCCAACCAGCACGTTGTCTTCTGCTTTTGCTTCAATGTACGCACAAAAACCGTGGTATGTTGGGCAGACCACCTAAAACAGGTACAGTTAGCTGAGGACATTTGTGTGCGAGCAGAGAACTTCTGGAGGTGGAAGATGTGAGAAATGCTTGCAGGTGACGTGCAGGGAGCCTTGCCCTAGTACTGCGGTGCAGGGAATGGCTGGCCTCACGTATAGGGCCCCTGCTAGACAGCATCTTCGCTTGTGCCCACAAGCTGTCCAACTGGACTGAGAACCAACCAACCAACCCAGCAACATAAACACCCAAAGCCATAGTCACGCTATAGGCCAAACACCACCATGTAAGACCCTGTTTTGGGAAACTCCACATGCTTCCTGCAATCTACCCCCTAGGACCCAAACCCGAAAGAGCACCCAAAGATCCCAATTCCCCTTAATTAAGGCCTTAGACCCTAATATTAAGGCCCCTATCATTTAAGGTATATTCCTTACTTATGGGGTTTCGGAATCTCTGAGTCACTCTGAGTATCGCCTTCAGATTGTCACAGCTCCAGGGCAGCTCCACGCCGGCAGAGGCCGACTGCACCTGCCGAGAGCAGGGGAGGGAACGATGGGTTGGGGGTTTAGGGTTAAAGCTTTGGGCGTTGAGGCAAGCTTACGCCCTGAGCGCGTGAGACACTTCAGGCTTTGAGTGTAAGGCAAACGCGCGATCCTCCCGTCCCCGCACCAAAACGGTCTTGGATTCAGGTTGGGCCTCCTTCAAGTCAGCAAGCTTCGAAACTGCGTTGTCCTGGGCTAGGGCCTTGGTGACACCCCCCCTTCCTCGAGACCGGAATATCAGGAAACGCATGAGAGTACGCATTGAGGGTTCTCGGGTGCAGGGTTTATGACCGGCCGGGGTTCGGGTAACCGGGGTTACGCACAAGGACTTCAATCATGTGTTGCACATGTTGCATGCATCTATAGTCTATATGGTAATCCGGGCTACAAGGCTGAGGGTCAGGGGGCTTTACTGTGAAGCATTCAGATACCAATGCAGGTAAAATAATGCCCTGCAGGCCTGCCTGTCTAGGCTGCGTGTTCACCGAGTTCAGTTTACTGTGGGATCTATGCGCTAACATTTGGGACAATATGGCATCGTCATCATATCTTCTCAAAGTCGAAGGTTGCCTACTCGACTACTGACTAACGTCCTTGAAGGCAAGAAACCATTGGAGATTCCTATGAAAGACACCCAGTGAGGAAACAGTCAACGACTAGCCTTCAAGCAAGTAAACAATCCATCAGCGAAAAGCAGACAACCCCTAGTCCCTCATTCAGGGTGCCAATCAGCGCTTATGGTTTCAGTTGTAGCCGGCCTGCTGAAAAGCAGATCCTTCAAATGCTAAATGCATGCAAACCCGTGGCAACCCCCACGGCATCAAATAGTGTTACAGGGATCCTTAGGGGTGTAGGGGGAGGGGGGGTAGGGGGCCTTAAGGCCCATAATAAGGACTAATAAGGCCTATTTAAGGAAATATAGTCCCCTACACCCCTCCCCCCTACACCCCTAAGGATCCCTATGATAGTGACCCAATCAGACTCAAGGTTAAGGGCTTGGGATCCGGGCTCCGGGAGAAGAGCCTGTACAGTAAAAGCCAGAAAGTTGGAATATGATTATCCTAAACCCTTTATGGTAGATTATAGGGTATCCTACCCTGAAACCATATTCCAACTTTCTGGAGTTCCCTTTACAGGTTTCAAGATAGCGGCCGTTAGACTCATGTTTCCAGTACTAATATACAGGAATTCTTAACTAGGGCAGCCAGAATAAGGAATGAGTACTCTTCATTATTCAAGCCCATGTGGTGTATCTTCGGTCAACCTCTTAATCCAACCAGTAGAAGCTAGATCTAGACCCCAGCCCCATGCAGACCCCAAATCCAGCCTACTGTTATCTCGAGATAAGGAACCCGCCATCCCATCTGCATTAAGACCTGATGGCTGGCATGATATTTCGCTTCGGGAAATCTCAGAATGAGAGCACTACGAAATCCCGTCCCTGCCTCACGAGACAGCTTTTGCAAGACTTCGTGGAGCCTTGTGGTGGGCTGCAGGCTCGATTACGGCTGAGGCTCTAGACCCTTTGGTATGGTAACGGGGTCTACGGTTGAGGGTGTGCCTAGAACCTCCAACTACCCTCCCTCCATTGTACCCTGAATACCCACGGCTATTGAGGACCATCAGGGCTCCATTAAGGAGTGCTTGGGGGGTCCTGGTATACAGAATAAAGATTGCGGTACAGAGCTCCGGGTTTCAGGCTTACGGTTTAGGGCTGTGCAGGGCAGCACATGGGGCGTTCTTAAAATCAGGCGGACTTTGTTAGATAAAGGAGCCTGCAACTAGCTCCACATCATGCACCAAGGCACCTGCAATGAGGGCCCGAAACATCTGTGAAGATTGGCTTTTCGGTTCCTGATTTAGGGTTTAGGGTGTAGGGTTAGCTCCAGCCACAGCCCAATGCATCATCATGCTTCCTTCGAGTCTCGCTTCGAGGTTCCTAGTTTCGGAGTGAAGGCAGTGCAACAGTGCAACCTCCAGCTTAGCCACATATTGCATGCCTGGGCCACCCTTTGCAACAGATGACCAAACTTGAGTGCGTGCTTGTTTCCCTAGTTACCTGCAGTGCTTAAGGGTAATGCACCTTTTGCCAAAGGAAATAAAGCATACCCATGTAAGATCTGTAGAGTTTAGGGTTTTAAGTGTTTCCAAAGATTGGAGCGTAGTAACGTTTCGTAACATGTCTATATACTTGTGTCAGAACAGAAAGGCCAGAATGTCCCTTCCGTTAACAGGTCGTGTAGCGCAAACATCATGGACATCCCTCACCACTGCCCAGCCGAGTAACCACAACGGCTTCTCGGCGAGAAGGGCAGTGAGTTTGTCCTGCAAGCGCGCTTGAAAGTTCATGGGACTTCTTAAGCAAGTTTACAAGTACCTTAATTGGGGTTATAAGTAGTTGAATCGACGCCATAGTTGCCTTGTTTATACAGTAGAAGCCTAAAAGGTGGAAACCCAATAATTAGCCTCAACCTCAAAGAGCAATGTATAGGGAATCCCAGCACTATTTGGCCTTAGTTTCCAACTTTATGGGGTTTACCATACCCTTGCTATACTGAACTTAGAACCCTAGCAAAAATTAGAATTTTAGCTGTTTTAGGGATTATAATAACAAAAAAATAAAAATTATTTCTAAGTACCCCTAAGCTTGTTATTTAGTCCCATGATCTTCTAGGCACAAAACTTCTGCTCACAGCTGGAAACCTTCCGCTGGCTTTCGAAGCAACAATTCCAGCGTTTTTAGGGCTCCCCCTAAACCCTAAATTGAAGTACGGTTTAGGGTTTAGGGCAAAGAACTTCTTATGTCCAGGATTCCAGGATGAAGGTGCCCTAGTTCGCACTTAAGGTATTCCACAGGTTACCTAGCCCCTACGTATAACTACCCATGAACCTCCGAGTGCTCACTACAAGTCTTTGAGGACCTGTCCGTGTAGACGCTGCTCGCGGCGGGCGGTCTGTTGGGAGCAGTGGCGAAAGAGAAGACCTCAGGTCTTGGGGGTTTAGGGCCTTCAGGGTTTAGGGCTTAGGGCCCTTAGGGTTTAGGGCTTAGGGCCTTTATGGCCTTTAGGGTTTAGGGCTTAGGGTTTAGGGCTCAGGGTTTAGGGCGTTTAGGGTTTAGGGCTTAGGGTTTAGGGTATCGGGGGTTTCTCGGAGGGTCAGACTTTACAAGTAGCATAATCCGAGGAATCCCTGTTATGGCACTTGTAGGTCTACTTATTACCTACTTACTAAGTCCAGCGACCCTCGAAGTAGGGTTCAGGATTTGGGAGTTTCCAAACACAGGAGACCCTATTATAGTACCCTATAAATATTTGGATCCTGATGATAAGGTAGAACCCTAAATAGTAGGATCGTGATTATAAGGACCCCAAACTAAAGCAGCCCAAAGTTTCGGAAACTCTCATTTCGGCTTGGCTAAACTTGAATACCACACTGGGGAGCCTAACCGAGTGAATCATGACATGGAGCCTGTGAACGACGGTTATAAGCTTCATGTAGGGTGTTGGGTTTATGGTATAGAGTTTAGGGATTCTCTGTTATAAGCAGCTCTAGAATGAAGAACTGCCCCAATCAACCTGTGCCTTCTCCTTCTCAAAGCAACCAGGCTGAAACGAAGTTTACACCGTCCTGCACGTTTGAAATTTTGCAAAGCTAAAGCACTCAAGGCTCTCCTAATGATTCGGTAAGCCTTACTGTGGAACCCTTGTTAATCAGACGCCTCAACTAACTTGGAAATAGAACAGAGGTCCTTATATTGGCGGTTGTCAAAATTATGGCCCCTTTTTGGGTACCCTAGGGACCCCAAAAGGGACCCTAATTTTGACAACCACCCATATGAAGGATCAGGAAGAAATCGGCCTAACCAGTCAGACATCTGATGTAGGGGCGTTGAAAATCAGAAAGGGGTTTGGGGACATATTATAATGCTTACAACTATACTGAACTTAGAACCCTAGCAAAAATTACAATTTTAGCTGTTTCTTAGGGATTATAATAACAGAAAATTAAAATTATATCTAAGTACGCCTGTGACAATGCTCTTATAATGATGAAACCCCCAAATGATGCTGGTAACTGTGAAGGCCGCTATCCCAAACCCTAAACCCTGAAAACCCCACATTTACCAGAGCCATGAGCTGCCAAGCTTCGAACTGGTGTCCTGAGTTCACTTAGGAGCGAGGCTTGTTTGGGTTTCGATGCTTTGAAGATGGATCCCCTTGAGGATTTAGGGCCTCTTTACGGGATCCTTTACGGGGATCCACAGGGTTTAGGGGTTTTCAAGGACTTCAAGAGTGTCTGCAAGGGTCAGCAAGGACTGTATAGGATTCTTCGCAAGGTTCCACAGCAACCCTGTTGAAAGCAGGGATACCCTGTCGCCTCCTTGTCAGTCTTTTCAAAGGGTCTCGAGCTTAGCTGCACAACTGGCCCTTAAATACAGAGAGGGTTATTGCTCAGGGGGCTAAATTATGAATAATGTAGGAACCTGATTAAGAAACCTTGGGTCTTTACTGGGGTTCCTTATAACAATCCTACTATTTTGGCGGCTTATGGGACCAGGGTTTCTGAATCGGCTTCCTACATTAGGATCGAAACACCAGAAGTATGGCTCACTCGACCACCGGATCCCTCCTCACAAGAGCTCGTGAAACTCAAGGGGAGCGGAGATGCATGATGCTACGGCTGATGGACAAAATCCTGCATTGCCCCTTATAAGGAAGATACCATAATTCCCATAGTTTAGAGTTCTTAGGGTCATGCAGGATTTTGTCCATCAGCCGTATTGAGCCAAGCCAGGAACCTTCTCCATTTGTAAGCAGGCCGACATATGGAAGTCAACCTTTATACACAGGGTGAATTTAGAAACAGTAGACTGTGTTACTTGTAAAATTCTTCTTCTGAGCAACTGCTCAAGCAACCCGCACAAAAGGCTGAGCTCGCGTCTCTCGCTGTTGGTGCCGAGCGCATGCCTGAGCACATATCAGGGTTTCAAGGCCTAGCAAGTACACCATATACCTCTAAACCTCAAGCCCACAACCTTACCCCCCGTTCTCCCAGTCACAAAAAACGGAGGGGCGTAAGGTTGTCTGCTAGGTCATTGGACCCCAAGTGAAGTGGCAGTGGCTAGGTCGCCAGTCTTGAGCAGGATCTATCGCTTTAGGCGGTGCTAATGTCGGGTTCAGGGTCCAGGTTAAGGATTCAGGTGGTAGCCTCTGCAAAGTTAGGCTAAACCTAAGAGTAACCTAGGAAGAAAAAGGGTGCCCTTTTTGGTTTATAGGGGGTTTTAAGGGAACCTGAACCCATAAAAAGGGAATAAGGGCCTACTCTGGGTCCTAGTAGGGTATGTTTTTACAATGGTGATAGCCAGTTGATATTACAAAGGCTGCCAGATGGGTTTGGAGAGCGATTCCAATAAGGATCGTACCAGTTAAGGCATTTAGAGTTCTATCGGGTCGCTACACACGCCGTAAACCGCTGTGTGCCCTGTCAGGTTCCAAGTTTCTAAATCCCACACAGGCCCAAGAAACAAAAGCCCTCAACTCCAAACCCAAAATCCAGAAACCCAGACCATGAAACAACCTTCGAGCCACCAACTCGCAGGTGGTGATGGCTCGCCCCAACTTGGGTGGGAGGCGTCCTGGTAGGCTGACAGATTACCTATAGTCTCCATTGTAGTTCCTTTTTGGGGTTACCTTATAGAACCCTAGTTATATAATTGGTCAAACCAAAAAAAGGAACTACAATGGAGACTATAGGTAGGGTTTTTGGGCTTAGGGCATCTGAGGATCCAATAATCATATGTTCCACTAGACCGCATCCTAAGCCCTAAACCCTAATGCCTGCGGCCCCATGTGCCCCACGCAGAAGTATATATGTGTTTGCTATTAGGGTTTAGGGTTTAGGGTTTAGGGTTCGGAGCCCTTACACTATTGTTTGGCATACCAGTCTTGTTGCTGTTCTGCCGATGCGAGAAGGATGACGATGGCTGCTGTCACGCTGCTCCTACTTCCATGCGTATTCCGACGACCCGTCTGACTAGCAACCGCGTTCTGATCTGGCGATTAGAGAAAATGTTGCAAAGGATGCTTTCGATTTTATCAAAGGTCTACACATGGAGTGTGCTGTGGCTGGCCTTAGACCTGCTGTTGAACTCGATCATGGCAGTGTGTAGACCATGAGCCAAGCGTTCAGGCTCGGTTTGCTGATCGCGGCCCAATGTCGGAACAGAAATTCCATGCGGTTCGAGACGTACACCCGGCATGCATGACACCGGCGCCGTCATCGTCTGCCTCATGTCGAGCAGGTCGCCCATTGAGTTGTGACATCGTCAACTGGGCTCTTGCTAAGGGATTACCAAAATGAGGAGACCATGTTATTTACTACAGATCCCTATTATGGTAACTCAACCAAAATCCCTGAACAAGAACCCAGCCGACTCTTCGTTGCTGGTGACTTCAACGTCGTCGCGAAAGCTCCGCGATGACCCTGCAGCTTCCGATCCGGTGTTGACTTTGAAGTCCTGAGCATATAGAACTTACAACCTAGGTCAGGGGTTCCTTCAGGGGTTCCTTTCAGGGTTCCGCTAAGGGTTCCTTTCCCAGACCCCCGGGAGGATCCAAAAAGTAGATCCCTTAATGGGGTTTCCGATAAAGTACCCTTATAGTAGTATAGGGCCCCAAATTGGGGGATCTACTTTCTAGATCCTCCCGGGGGTCTGGGTTAGGGTCTCAGATATTGGGATTAGGGCAGATTGAAGTCCTGAGCCTCTAATGTAGGTTAATAGTTAGGTATAGGGTTCCTGTAAGGGGGGTTTAGGGTTTAGGGTTGCTTTTGAAGGGGTCTAGAAGGATTACTATCAGGGGTATTATGGGGGGCTGAGTATAGCGGTCTAAATAATTACCACTACTATTTGGGGGTTCCTCATTATAGTTATCGTAGAATGGGCCCCAAAGCCCATTCTAATTCTTAAGGCCTCTATAGTATGTTCCTGAAATGCCAATCTCGCCAGTGTCATCGTCTTGCGCTCTTGACTGTCTGGGGAGACAATTATACCCAGACCCCCAAAAGGATCTAGAAAGTAGATCCCCTCATTTAAAGCCCTATACTACAAAGGGCACTTCATAAGAACCCCCATTAAGAGATTGGGGCTTAGGGTTTAAAAGGGTCCGTGAGGAGCTGATGAGCTCTTGCATCGCTGAGACAGCCTAAACCCTAAACCCTAAATACCCAAAACCCTAAATCCTAAACCCAAAACCCTAAACCCTAAACCGTGTCGCTCTCAGCAACAGGCCGCTCCTGGAGCACGCCTTCCATATCTACATTACTCGGTTTAGGGTTTGGGGTTTCGGGATTTAGGGGTTTAGGGTTTAGGGGTTTAGGGTTTAGGGTTTAAGGGTTGAAGGGTTTAGGGGTTTAGGGGTTTAGGGTTTAGGGTCATTACTCGAAGCAGCATTGGGGAACTGCAAGCTAACCATTCAGATCATACAGGGATTTTGCCTGCCCCGATAAGTTTAATATCTTATTACACGATTTCTGAGTTTTCACCCTAAGCCCTAAACCCAGAATAAGCAAACCCTGAATCCGGACCCCTTCTTGCACCAGAAACCTTCAGCGTTCCAACCGAACCCTAACCCAGACCCGGGAGGATCAGCCAAGTAGATCCCCCAATTGGGGCCCTATGCTACTAAGGGTACTTATAGGAACCCTCATTAAGGGATCTACTTTTTGGATCCTCCCGGGGGTCTGGGAAACCACTACACTTCAAATCATCCCTGGAACTCAAAGCCGCAAACACTAAATCACACACATGGCTTTCGACAGGGTTTTGGTGCGGTCCTGGATAGTACTGTCGAGCGTAGACGTATATATATATATATATATATATATATACATACATACATATATATATATACAGAACGAACTCTCTAACGAATACTAACTGTTGCGAATTCTTCCTAAACTGCTACCAACACACAAATTGCCTTATCACTGATGGCTAGTCCTGCCTAAAACACCAAAAAGCTACAGCCTTATTATAGAACCCCTGTAGACGTCCTGTCTAGTAAACCTTTACTCGAATAACTCTGGAAATCATACATACCCTTTTTGTAGTTGGCCGCAGTCCTGGCCGCAAGCAAAGAAGGCGCAAACCACTAGGGGCTTGTCGACCACCTCCCGTCGGAGTGCAAAAAAAAGAAAAAGGATTCCTCTGAACAGGGGTCCTCAACGGCTTCGTTTACAGGGTTTATACTATACAGTAAAAGCCAGAAAGTTGGAATATGATTATCCTAAACCCTTTATGGTAAATTATAAGGTATCCTACCCTGAAACCATATTCAAACTTTCTGGAGTTCCCTTTAGGCGTTGGGGATATAGGAGCCTGAATGGTTATAGAATAGTGTTTGGGCGCTATATTATGCATTAAGGACCCCCAAGGAATAGAGGGAAGACACGATAAAAATGACCCGTACCATGGAACCCCTCTATACCCCCTGCCGTCTACAGGACCTTGAGGAATAGGGAGCTGTGAAAGCCTGACGTTGAGACGGCCACACAATGTAAAAGAAAGTGTGCGCTCACACGGCCCTAGCACAAAAGCACTGCAAGTACTCATTTGAGCCCCTATATTACCTATAGTCTCCATTGTAGTTCCTTTTGGGGGTTGCCTTATAGAACCCTAGTTATATACTTGGTTAAACCAAAAAAAGGAACTACAATGGAGACTATAGGTAGCTTTTGCGGATGCCGGCATACAAGGGTTAGGTACAGAAGTCTGAACAACGAGCCTCGCCTTCAGGCCCCTGTATTCTATGAGGGCTTTAGGTTAGAGTTTCGCGTTAAAAGAACATTCGGGTCCAGGGCATAGGGCTTATGGGCTTACGTTACATGGTTTCCGGCTTCTGGGCTTTCCCTAAGGGTCCATGTACCCAAATAGTGTATACATTGGCCTTAATGTAGTCCCTATATAGATACATTGGGCCCAAAGTGTATACTATTTGGGTACATGGACCCTTAGGGTTTGGGGTGTAGGATCCAGGAGTTTTATGGGATTTAGCGTATCGTCGAACTCGGTGTCCGCAGCCCAGAAATCCCCCAAAGCCCTCTCTATAAGTGCCTCAAAAATTAGACTAGATTTCCTTTAGAGGATTCCATCGGGTTTCAAATCGGTTTAGGATGTGGGGGAATTCATAATTAGAAACATTTCTGTGGGTGATATTGTAGTATGAGAAGTATGATCAGAAATCCTAAGGCATCGTTTAGGCTACTATATTACTGTAACTTTCTGATCTTTAGTGAATGCAGCGTCGCCCCTACACCGCAGGAGGAACTTCAATACTAGCTGCGGTATACCCTAAGCCCCCAAAGTAGTGCCGTTTTGGGGTTCCTATATAGAAACCTATAAGGCAGTCCCAAAAAGCAACTATTTTGGGACCTATGGGTAACCCTCAAGCGAAACCTGGGCCCCGTAAAACGCCGCAGACATGACACACCAACTACCCCAAAACCCTACCCAAAGGCTCCATGCAACCATATAGTGGGTACTTAGGCCTTAAAGGGGTCGCTATATAGGTGCTTTAAAACCTAAGTACCTACTATTATATGGGCACATGGAGCCTTAGAGCTATTTAACCACGCAAAAGCAAAACCTGCACACCCGCAATCCTGGAGGCTGCTTGGAGGATCGTGGGACTGACTAAGTATGGTTATAAGTACTTTAATTGGGGTTATAAGTAGTTATAAGTATAGTTGCCCTGAAAAAAACCTTACTTACTAAGTCCCCTGATCCTTCAACTGTTACCCCAAACCCTGAACCCATATGCTCTAAACCCTAAACCCTCAATTTTCTGGCTTCGAAAATTGCAACCGGGACCTCAGCCTTCTGAAGCAGCGTGTCCTCAGTGGCGCACTTCTTGTTTGGCGCAAGGGGTTCAGGAGCTTTACTAGGTTGGCCCTTTAAAGCCTCTCAAAAATATTCGGAAATAGGGTCCTACTAAGCCCAATAAGGGAAAACCTACCTAGTTTACTGTTTAAGGACCTGCAGCGGTTTAGAGGTTTAGTGGTTTAGGGCTTATAAGTTTCGGGGCTTGAGGTTTTCGGGATCCAATTTTTACAGTATTTGGGGCTCCCATGAGGGTCCCGTAGCGGTTTCTGTAGCGGCATTTTGAGGGATCTACTAAGGGTATCATAAGGGTTCTATAAGGGTAGCAAGGGTGTCATAACGGTTTGAGGTTTACAGGGTCTCTTTAGGCTCACTTTCTTTTGTTTGAAGTGTTTGGGGGTGTAGCCTAAAGCACGACACCACTGCTGCCAGGATGCAGGCAACTCCAGGCAATCCTTCGGCAGGGAGCATTTAGGGGCTAAAAGTCTCACCAGTTTATAAGCGCTGGTGTCTCGCTATGAGCTTTTATGTATCTACTGAAGTAACTATAATAGTAATAACAACTTATAACCCCAATTAGGGTACGTATAACCTTACTTACTAAGTCCCATGATCCTCCAAGTACCCTAGACCCTAAACTAAACCCTACAGATCCCTTTAAGGAACCCTATATACATCCCTTTAAGGAGCCCCTTACTTACTAAGTCCCCTGATCCTCCAAGTACACAGTAGATGCCAGAATTTGTCAAGCGCCGGCTATCAGGGTTCAACCAAGGCTCTTCTCCAGGCTTCCCCCCTTAATTAACGAATAAACCTTAAATCATATAATGGATCCTACTATACTTTAAGGCATATTCCTTAATCAAGGGGTTTTGGAGGCTCTGGGTCATCACAGATCCCCCGATCAGCTACAAAACCCGTCCCAAATCCGCTCAAACTCCGAAAGCGTTTAGAAAGACCCTTGAACCATCTTGAACCCCGAAACGTAAACTCCCTGATGAATGAATATCCATACAATACTGTACAAGCCTAAATAATTACGCATACTATTTTGGGGATTCCTTCTGGTAAGTATATAGTAAAAAGTACCCCCAGAACCCTGTTCGAACTATTAAGGCCCCTGTATTTCATGCCTCAAAAAACGCAGACCCCCCCAAGGATCTAGAAAGTAGATCCCCCAATTTGGCGCCCTATACTACTAAGCGTACTTGAAAGGAAGCCCCATTAAGGGATCTACTTTTGGGATCCTCCCGGGGGTCTGGGAAGGCACTGAGCTCGAGACCTCCCACTTCCTGGCGTCGACCGGGGCCACTAGAAACTTGCCGAACCTCAGGAGCCGGAGTGTTAGGGGGTTTAGGGTTTATGGATTTGGGTGGATGAGGGCTGGGCTTCAAGATGGACCCGCCGACCCTGGTTAACCTCCCTTTTTCCCTCCTCCCACACCCCACCATCCTTTTTCCTGCCTAAGCTCCCCCCTCCCCCCCTCCCTCCCTCCCCCCCTCCCCTCCCCCCTCCCCCCCCTCTCCCCCCTCCCCCTCCTCCCTCCCCCTCCTGCCCGCCTCCCCCCCTCCCCCCCCTCCCCCTTCCGCCCCCTTTCCCCGCCCACCCGCCTTGCCCCCTTCTTCCTCTTCAACCTTGGCATCTCCGCTCCAAAGTGCTCCTTGTTCCTGCTTCGTGATCGTCGCGCAGCCTCGCGTACTTCCGCCTCTTCCCCCCGTTTTGTCTCACAATCTTAGAAGCGCACCAGCGAAGCTTGTCAACTTGAAGGTTCCCGTTTAGTCTCACAATCTTAGAAGCGCACCAGTGAAGCTTGTCGGCTTGAGGGTTTAGGACCACTGTGACTGCGAGTAGCGGCTCTTGGCGTCTCCTTCTAGAACTAAACCTACGGGCTCGCGGACACCAAACGACTTTGCCTGCACAAGTGCATTCGGCTTCTGGTCTGTCGCCCACGGGGTCGGCGGCTTGAGCCGGAGGCTCTTAAATCGGGCAGCGCTTCGCTGCCCTGTATGGACTGAGCTATGGCTCATACGAATGAGCTTCGTCTGCGAAGCAGAAGCCACGACCGACAGTGCCGCCGACCCGCCCCGGACCCCGCATCATCGGACCCTCGTTTCTCCCTCGGGCCGCGCGGGGCCTGGCCCGAAGGCGTCTCGGAATGCGCACGCGTTTTGCAGCCATTCCCCGCGGTGTGGCGGGTTTCGGGGCCGCCGTGGACGACCCCAGGAGGCGAGCCGGCGAGCATCATGAGCCCTCGGGCGCCCGCAACCGGCGCCGGCGGCGCGACGTGGGCGCGAAGTCATAACTCCCAAGTTTTTGAATGGGTTGCGGAAGCCGCCAAAGGGCGCGCATCATGAGCATCAGCGGGGTCCGGCGGACGGGGGGTGCGGGCTACATGCAGGGCCGACGGGGGCTGAGAGCCTACGATCACCCACAAGTTGCGCACTTCGGGCCTACGTTGCACTTATCTATATACCGCGGGTTTCTGACAACAGCTCGCGCTGCCCGCACCTGGGCGCAGCCCCTAAATTCTGACACTTTAAGGATAATTGAGAACGACCCTTCTGGGAGTTTCATGGCTTGTAGCGCTGCTACGGCTTGACGATGGATTTAAGCGGCATGGAAGCAGACCTGTAATTGTCTGTAGGCTCCGCATTCTATCCTGTGAATGGTTTTGGTATTGTCGGTATCTATACTCCAACACCCGAAAGGATCCAAAAAGTAGATCCCTTAATGAGGGTTCCTGTAAAGTACCCTTAGTAGTATAGGGCCCCAAATTAGCGGATCTACTTTCTAGATCCTCCCGGGGGTCTGGGTAAAGCCGTACGATTCGAGTTGTAGGGCTTTTGCGGATTTCGGCGTAGGGTTTTGGACCGAAGGCTATACACATTCAGGGGTTTTGGGTCATTTGGGAGTTTCCGAAATTAAAGTAGGGGTACCTTATCTGGGGCTCCCAATAATAAGGATCCTGCTGTTTAGGGTACTGTGTTAGGGTCCCCTATTGTCGGAAACTCCCATTTCGTAACTTCAAGGACTTTTCGTCCATGAGAAAGTTGTAGTTTTGGATCCACTTCCTCCAGAAGGTACGTAATACGCAACACGTACTTTTCTGGAAATGCCTATGACAGATACCATACAATCAGACACAGCAGAAACTACTGGTAAGTACACGAGCCGTGCGATTTGGGCATCAAAAGCTGTTCTATGTGGAAGTGTTGTTGAACTGCTGTTTAGGACCTAGTTATTAGCAGGGGACTCTACTCTTGAGAGTCCAAGTGCCGCAAATTTTGGAGGCTCTCGATTCCCACATGCTTTACTCCGAACAGTTTAGGTAAGCACTCAACTTTAATCTCACTTCTTCAATGACCGAGGCAAAAAAACTTTCTAAGGCTGGATATGTAAGGCCAAAAAGGTTGAAGTTCTCCCACTAGGCATCTAAGTAAACTCTCTACTGCTTGAGTCATAATCGGGCCCGGGGGGTGAAGGGTGGTGGCTAAGCTTTGAAAGTATGGTGGAACTCTACTAACTTGGTGCCCTATACTACCGCTTTAGGACTCCGTGTCCAGGGTTTAGGATAATTATGGGTACTTGACAAGAAACCCCCCTCGTAGTTTCTTTAAGGTTATACTATAACCCGAAGGGTCATTACATACTGCCATCATGGTAAAGACCATCCCTATGATGGATTTGGGGACCTAGCTCCGTCGTAGTCGTAGTAGTCGTCGTCGTCGTCGTAGTCGTAGCCGTCGTAGTCGTAGTCGTAGTCGTAGTAGTAGTAGTAGTAGTAGTAGTAGTAGTAGTAGTAGTAGTAGTAGTAGTAGTAGTAGTAGTAGTAGTAGTAATAGCAGTAGTAGTAGTAGTAGTAGTAGTAGTCGTAGTGGTAGTGGTAGTGGTAGTAATAGCAGTAGTAGTAGTAGTAGTCGTAGTGGTAGTGGTAGTGGTAGTGGTAGTGGTAGTGGTAGTGGTAGTAGTAGTAGTAGTAGTAGTAGTAGTAGTAGTAGTAGTAGTAGTAGTAGTAGTAGTAGTAGTAGTGTGCATGGACCCGTTTGGTCAAAAAAACACGGGCCAGCGGCGGATTGAAACCATGGCCGCAGTAGTACAGCAGGCAGCGCTGACTTTCCTGTGCATATGCAGCCGATCAATGGTCAGGGTTTAGGGCTTGGGGGTTTAGGGTTTAGGTTGAGGGGTTTAGGGTTTAGGGGGGGTTAGGGGTTGGGGGGTGTGGGGTTTGGTTTATGGGCTTTATGAGGCCTTATGGGTTTTCAGTAGCCTGGGACCCCCAAAAAAGCCTGTGAATATGCGGCTACATAGGGCATAGGGCTGTGTAGAGGGTTTGGGACGAGAGTTTGAAACTAAAGGGCTGCGGCCGTTTCCATGCAAGGCTGGGGCTGCAACAATTTGAATTGGGCCTTTAGGGCTTATGCTGTTGATACTTATAATGCGGAACCCTACGGAATAATCTAGGTAACTCCTCATAAAAAATTTCTCATACACAATGAGCAGAACTGGAAATATGTCCTGAATTACGGGTCCAGGTGACAACAAATCAAAACCATGAGCAAGGGTAGAGGGGCCGGTTTCGTAAGATCCAAATGCATCACAACGCTAGCCCCCGATTCTAATCTAGAAGCCTCAGTGATGAACATGAGGTTTGGGATATATATCCAAGAAGGAATCCCAAACAAGCAGTGTTATTGGCAATTATAGAGGCTTCTACTGCAGCTGTCCCAGTCTCTGGCCAAAATGGCTTCAGAGACAGCTTCTATCATAAACAGAAGCCGTTCGAATTGATAACTTGGCTGACTTCTGAACCCCTCCTAAAAGTTAAACTTTTAGCCTCCTTATTATAGTTCACATAGAAACCCCAAAAAGTTAAAGTCTAAAGAGCCAACCAGAAGAATGCCAAGATAAGCTCAGCTATACCAATAAGATACCCGGAACCCTATTCTGGGCCTAGGGTTAGGATGTCCTTAAGGTAGTAGTCCCCATTATTCCCCCATACTCCCTAAGCTTCCCTAAGGTTCCCCAAGGCTCCCTAGTACCCTCCCCCCTTGAACCACCCCCCCTTAAGGATCCTATAATAGGGTCCAGGCAGGGACTCCGGCGTTTTACGGGCACTTTGTGTCTTCGTAGGGAGGCCAAAAGGGGAGTTTAAGATTCTTGGGGTAGGGGTTCCTGAATATGAAGCCTATTATGGGAACCCTAATCCCTACTAAACCACCATAGGCTAAAACCCCTTTTGGCCTCCTATGAAGTTTAGGGATTCGCGGGTGCGGAGTGCCGAAATGCACATCCACTCTCAGCGGTCCTTGGAGGAGAGGTAAAGCGGTATCCCTACAATTTGGATAGTTGTCAAAATTAGGGCCCCTTTTTGGCTACCCCAAATATTAAGTGCCGTACTATGATACCCAACAGGGAACCATCAATTTAACCAAGGTCTTCTTGTTGGCCCAAATGGGAGTTCCCGAAATATAGAGGACCCTAATTATGGTACCATAAAAAGTAGGATGCTTACTATGAGGACCCCTAAATAAGGTACCCCCCATTTTCGGAAACCCCGAAATGACTTCGCCGTCATATTCCTTCATGAAACCATAGCAACAGCACCCCTGGACTCTAGTCTCGCGCGAACCCCGAAAGCAATTGAAGCCGCCGCAATTCTGAGCCCCAGACCAACAACTGCCAACCCATCAAAATCTTAAAACCCTACAGAACCCATAAAGGAACCCTTACCCAGACCCCCGGAAAGATCTGGAAAGTAGATCCCCTAATTTGGGGCCCTACACTACTAAGGGTGCTCTATGGGAACCCCGCTTAAAGGGTCTACTTTTTGGATTTTTCCGGGGGTCTGGGTACAGTAAAGGAGCTCCCTGTCGACCGATCGGAAGCCAATTGTCCAACAGAACTGCAGACGAGATGCTCCCGGGTGGACAAACCACTCCTTAACTGTACGGGCTTTGGTTTCTGCCTTTGTTGCCGGTTTTGGTTCAGGGCTCTAGAATCCTAAACTCTAAATCCCGAAACCCTAGATTCCGAAACCATAGATCCTAAACCCTTAAACCCTAAACCCCTAAACCAATAGCTGTGGGGCTTTAGGGCTTCGGGCCTTTGGTGCTTATTCTAAGGGCCCTCATCATTAGAATAAGGTCTTCGGGCCCATGATACTACAATTGTAATAATACGGAACCACCAAAAATAGTAATAATAGGCAATTACTTAGGCCCCTATCCTAAACCCTAAACCCCACAGATCCCCTTTTTGATGCCTTAAAAGAACCCTTTAGGCTCCTATAATGGAGCTGTGGGGCTTTAGGGCTTGGGGCCTTTGGTGCGTCGGATTTTTTTGTTTTGGTTCCGGACCCTAAACCCCTAAACCCTAAACCCTGACCCCTAAAACCCTAAACCCTAAAACCCCTAACACGCATAAACCCCTAAAACCCAAAACCCCTGAACCCGTAAAAACCCCAAACGCCTAAGGGCCGTTGATGCTTCGGATTCTTGAAATGGAGGCCGGGGGTCGATACTATTCACCCCAGGTCCCAAACTCTCACAGCCCTCAGGCTGATTAAGCTCTGTGTAACATATATATATATATATATATTTATAACATGTATAATTATATAATATGTGTATATACATATACGTATGTATACATAGCGAGAGGGAGAGAGAGAGAGAGAGAGAGAGAGAGAGAGAGAGAGTTGGAGAGAGAGACAGAGAGAGAGCGCCTGTAATCAAAGGAACTGCTGTTCAGTTGTAAGTAGTAACCTTTGAAGGAACAGATAAGCTCACGGTGGAGGAATCCTTATATTAGTCTTTAACCATACACTGCCCGCCAGATGTCCAGAGCTTCGTGGAGCATCTGCTGCGTCGCATCCCGCAGCAGTTGCCTAAAACGGCGTCAAAATTGTTACTATCACGGTTGAAGCATCTGGAAATAGAAGTTGCATTATCTAAGGAAAGTTGGTGCTAATTCTTCAGGCACGTATATTAAGGACTTACCAGGTAGGTAATAAGGGAGCTTCAAAAGGTGCTCATACGTGGGTACTATAAAAGTTGCTATGAAGGTGTTGCGGCAGAAGATGTTTAGGGCCTTTCGGGTATGGGGTTTGGGACTGCAACATAATATTAGGGATTCGGGTGTAAGGGTTAAGTTAGAGGGATTAACTGGCTTTTGTTGGGGTTAGTAAGTCAGTTCTAAGGAGAGCTACGACGAGTTTGTTACGTGGGACTACCCTATTGTATAACCTACTTACCCTAAACCTTAACCGTAAACCTCTAAACCCTAAACCCCTAAAACCTAAACCCTTAAACCCTACCCAGACTTACCCTAAGCCTTAACCGTAAACCTCTGAACCCTAAACCCCTAAAACCTAAACCCTTAAACCCTACCCAGACTTGACCTAAGCCTTAACCGTAAACCTCTAAACCCTAAACCCCTAAAACCTAAACCCTTAAACCCTACCCAGACGCTGGATCCCGAAAGTCTCCTAAATCAGAGTCTACTGGCACTGGGAAGTTTCAAAATGAAGGGCAATCCTGAACCTCATAGGGATCCTTAGGGGTGTAGGGGGGAGGGGTGTAGGGGACTATATTTCCTTAAATAGGCCTTATTAGTCCTTATTATGGGCCTTAAGGCCCCGTACCCCCCCTCCCCCTACACCCCTAAGGATCCCTATGATGAACCTCAACCTGACTTAGTAGGGCCCCAAAGAAGCACATAAGCAACAACAAGGGTAGGGATGTCCCATATAAATCTCCTTGTAATGAAGCTTATTAAGGTAGGGATATCCCTATAAAATGCTTCTGCCTGTGTGCTTTTTTGGCCCGACTTAGGGGATTCGAATACAGATCCTTTCAGTTGGTCCTGTATTCTCTGACACTCCCGGGCAGCTGTAATTCAGGGGTCGGACTAACTAGCATCAGTATCCCCTTCCAGCTACCTGTACACGTGTAGTATGGCATGTAACCCTATTCTACTTAGTAAGGCCCCTATACTATATATTCTGAATAGTAAGGACCCTCTATCAGACTCTTTAGCTGCTGTTCCGAATCCTGCCTATATTCCCCTAGTAAGTATCCCTGTATACAGCCCCTTAAAGCAGAAACCCCAAGTAAAGAGACCACAAACCTACATAATATTAAGGCACCCCTTGTTCTATAGACCCGTATTATAGATCCCTTTGTAGAACCCTAAAACGGAAGCCTGTTCTAATTACTAAGGCCCCTAAACCCTAAACGCAATAAACCCAAAAACCCTGAAACCCTAAACCCTAAAGCACCAAACCCTAAAACCCTAAACCCTCTAAACCCCGAGCCCTAAAACCTAAACCCTAAACCTTGTAAACCCTGAACCCCTAAAACCCCTATAAGAACCCTACTATACTGAACTTAGAACCCTAGCAACAATTACAATTTTAGCTGTTTCTTAGGGATTATAATAACCAAAAAATAAAAAATATTTCTAAGTACCCGTAAGCCTAAACTCAAGGCCCCTCGATCAGACTTCGGCCAGGTACGGCTCGACAGAGAGGCCCGATGTTCGCAGCATCTCCAGGAATCTTTCCTGGGCTTTGAAGCCACGGTTTAGGGCTTTTAGTGGTTTAGGTGTTTAGGGTTTTGGGGTTTAGGGGTTTATGGCTTTTAGGGGTGTAGGGTTCAGGGCTTTTAGGGGTTTAGGGTTTCGGGGTTTGGGGTTTAGGGTTCTCCAGGAAGCTTTGCCGGGGCCTTAATAATTAGAAGAGCGTTTTGGGGCCCATTTTACTATAATCATAATCTTTCCTGGGCTTTGAAGTTACGGTTTAGGGCTTTTAGGGGTTTAGGTGTTTAGGGTTTAGGGGTTTATGGCTTTTAGGGGTTTAGGGTTCAGGGCTTTTAGGGGTTTAGGGTTTCGGGGTTTGGGGTTTAGGGTTCTCCAGGAAGCTTTGCCGGGGCCTTAATAATTAGAAGAGCGTTTTGGGGCCCATTTTACTATAATCATAATCTTTCCTGGGCTTTGAAGTTACGGTTTAGGGCTTTTAGGGGTTTAGGTGTTTAGGGTTTTGGGGTTTAGGGGTTTATGGCTTTTAGGGGTTTAGGGTTCAGGGCTTTTAGGGGTTTAGGGTTTCGGGGTTTGGGGTTTAGGGTTCTCCAGGAAGCTTTGCCGGGGCCTTAATAATTAGAAGAGCGTTTTGGGGCCCATTTTACTATAATCATAATCTTTCCTGGGCTTTGAAGTTACGGTTTAGGGCTTTTAGGGGTTTAGGTGTTTAGGGTTTAGGGGTTTATGGCTTTTAGGGGTTTAGGGTTCAGGGCTTTTAGGGGTTTAGGGTTTCGGGGTTTGGGGTTTAGGGTTCTCCAGGAAGCTTTGCCGGGGCCTTAATAATTAGAAGAGCGTTTTGGGGCCCATTTTACTATAATCATAATCTTTCCTGGGCTTTGAAGTTACGGTTTAGGGCTTTTAGGGGTTTAGGTGTTTAGGGTTTTGGGGTTTAGGGGTTTATGGCTTTTAGGGGTTTAGGGTTCAGGGCTTTTAGGGGTTTAGGGTTTCGGGGTTTGGGGTTTAGGGTTCTCCAGGAAGCTTTGCCGGGGCCTTAATAATTAGAAGAGCGTTTTGGGGCCCATTTTACTATAATCATAATCTTTCCTGAGCTTTGAAGTTACGGTTTAGGTTTAAGTTGTAAGGTTTTAGGGCTTTACAGTGTTCTTTGGTCAGTGCAGAGTCCAGACACTCCAATATCCCTTAATTGGGGAATATTCCTTAATTAGAGTGGGACCCCTGATATGATTTTAAGGTATATACCGAAATGGAACCCGACAACCGCAAACTACGATCCTAATCCCGAGTAATTACCTGATTCTTAGGTCCGTTGGCCTAAGTATAGGGTCCCACTACTTAAAGGATCATGGGACTCAGTAACTAAGGTTATTTTCATAAGGTAACTGTACTTATAAGTACTTCTAACCCCAATCAAGGTACTTATAACCTTACTTACTATGTCCCATGATCCTCTAAGTACTGTTTTATATCTTCGCGGAGTCTGGCTCTAGTTGGGAAACCCGAGGAATGAAGGCATCAGATATATTCAGCCCTCTATACTTTGCCCAAGGGACAGCATTGTGCACAGCGTCGGGAACCGGATCCAGGCCCAATGTTGGATCATAGCCTTGGCTACGAGGGCTCACGGTTGGGGGTTGAGGGCCTAGCTGGTGTTGCGGCGGGGTTTCAGGGCCCAAGCTTGAAGACGGGGACTCAACAGCGTAGGTAGCAAGCAGATCTTTAATTCCGAAAGGTTGATTGTAGTACGCAATTGGGGCATTTAAAACATGTAAGTATAGTTACCTTATTTAGAGCCCTACTGTTCATGATATAAATCCTGCATTACCATAAGGAATCTAGACTATGGGAATGTAGGGCATATTCCTTAGAATGGGTAATGCAGGAGTTATATCATCAACCTAAACCATGAGCCCTGAACCCTAAAACCCTAACCCTTATAGATCCCATCAATCCTAGTTCCTCGCAAAACCCTACACCCTAAACCCAACATCTTAAACCCCTAAACCGTACCCAAAGGGTCCAAAGTACCGATATAGTAGAATGTAGGGTTTCTAAATTAGGAATTACTATTATGATTTGGGGAAGTATCCCCGATAACAGCACATCGGAGCCTTTGGGGTAGTTTCTGAGTCCCATGACCCTCCAAGCGGTCAAAAAGCCCTGAGACCCTGAAGTAAAAGCCTCAGAGCGCCACGTTTTAAAGGGAACTCCAGAAAGTTGGAATATGGATTAATGGTAGGATCCCCTATAATTTACCTTAAAGGGGCTACGATAATGATATTCCAACTTTCCGGCTTCTACTGTAGGGTTTAGAGGTTTGTCCCGACATCCTAAACCCCTGCGTTTGAAGTAATGTAGGGTTTAGGATTCCCTTTTGGCGGGGGGTTCATGATAATCGGTTAATCTTGGTGTGGGAGGTTAGCGATGTAGGGGTTTTAGGATTTCGATTTAGGGATTAATGTAGCGGCCTTAGTAATTAGAATGGGGTTTTGAAGGTCCTTACTAGAGTTATAGTATCATATACCCCCAAGCCCTATTCCAATTATATCCTAAACCCCTGCATTTCAAGTACATCACTAGGGTTCCTTTAACGGGATAGTATATGGGTACTACAAGGGTTCCTTTAAAGGGCTCTATAAGGGTTTAAAGTTTCCGAGAAATTAGGGGCACCTTATTTGAGGGTCCTTTATAATGATTATAATGAGGACCCTACTACTTAGGGTACAAAACCAGGGTCCACACCCAAATCGCTACAACCATAATGTAGGGTCTTACTAATTAGAATGGGGTTCCTTTTAAATGTGTCTAAGAGGACTACAAGAAGGGGTACCATGGGGTTTAGTGTAGGGGCCTTAATAATTAGAATAGGGTTTGGGGGTATGCGATGCTCTTGCTCTAATATGGAATCCCCAAAACCGTATTCTGACTATTAAGGCCCCTACATTAAACCCAAAACCGCAATCCTAAACCTCTACACCGCTAACCTCCCACACCAAGATATATAAACCGATTACTTACGATAGAACCCCCCGCCAAAAAGGGAACCCTAAACCCTACAAAAAGTTGAAACAAGAAAACGGGGAACCCTAGGCTTCGTGTCAGCAGGCCTCCGTTGCCCACAACCAGGACCCGCCAAGCCATGAAGCTCTGTAGGAAGCCCTACGTACAGTAAGCCCCATAAAGTTGGAAACCGGATTAAGGCCAAATAGTGCTGGGATTCCCTTTATTACTCTTAAGGATTGAGGCTATTGGGTTTCCAACTTTTGGGCTTCTACCGTAAATGATCAGACGTTAAGGTTTAGGATATGGTCTAAGAGGCTCTTGGGTGTAGGGCAGGGGTTACTTGAGCGATCGGGGTCAGCAAGTTTTCAGAGGAACGGGGTTTCGAGCTTTGTTCCATGGTCTCGGGGGCGAGAGGTTTGGGTTTGGGGCTTCGAGCCTGAGGCTAAAGGCACACTGAAGCTGCAACTTAACCCAATACCTCCCAAGCCGGAAGTCTAAAATGGCACGCCGCAAACTTAATACAGGGGCCTTCATAATTAGTATACTTTTTGGGGGCCCATGATATTGTTCAGGAACCTCCAGAATAGTATTAGTAATTGTTAAGGCCCCCATGGTGACCCCCTACCTTGGCCCCTGGCACATTGCCTTATTTCGATACTCCCCCGACGCAGACTCTCGATGCAGATCTGCGCACCATAGCTAGCCATAGCTTCTGTTTCCAAGCCACGTAATTAGGGCCGAACTCAAACGGTCCTATGTACTGTTATGGGGGATACTTCCCTAAGTCATTAAAGTAATTCCTAATATGGAAACCCTACATTCGACTATATCGGTACATAGGACACTTTGGGGAAAGAGCCCAACTTCAAGGCCTAAGCCACCCGGTAGAGCCGCAGAAATCCTGAACTCCAAACTCCGAATTGTTCTCTCCTGACACCCTTGTGGGGTTTAGGGTTTAGGGTTTGGGTTTAGGGTTTAGGATTTTGGGAATCTCGCCGCCGGTAACACGCCGCCGGTAACACCCTTAAACATGAAACTGAAAAGCTACGGTTTAGGGTCTAGGGTTCAATACAGAGCAGCAGAGAAAGAAACCACCACCCGATCTCCTCCCTCTCGCAAGAGCTGCCACGATTTTCTCACGCGGATAGAGGAGCCACCAGATGCAGAACGATCTCAAGACTCAGCTCCCACCCCCTTACGCCCTGGCCTTTGTCCTAGGATATAGAACTCAAGAATTTCGGGTTAAGAGGGCCTTCACAGTCAGGTATGTCGGCCTTGAAAAATTGATGAGGTTTTGGGGCTATGTTATGGTAACACTGCTGCAGGAGACCATAACGGCTGATGATCTAAATCCTGCATTACCTTAAGGACCCTAAACGATAGGAATTATGGTATATTCCTTATTACGGGTTATGCAGGATTTGTATCATCAACCGAAGGGCTCATGGTAAGAACCTGTATTGCCTAAACTGAGGCACAAAGTTGGTCTCGTCTAGCCTCTTAGCTAATGTTGCCTTTCAGTCGGCTCAGCTGTCGTCACTTGTTTGTGATCGCCGAAGCCACCGCCGCCTTGCACTCAGTCACATGAGCTACCCAGGCCCTGTACAAGATCCACCAATTAGGACAAAAAGCCCAGGCTAAACCATATGGGCGGTTGTCAGAATTGCGGTCCTTTTTGGGTCCCTATTATAAGGCGGCACCTATTATTAAGGGTAAAAGGGACCCTAATTTTGACAACCACCCATATTGCTCATGAACAAAAAAACTGCATTGTCAATGACAAGGTAAAGACCACCATCCTCGTCGTTCAGGGTACTTACGGCATGAGTTTGTCCATGAGCCGTACCACTATCCTCAACCCCAAACCCTAGCCCTAACACCTTCTAAACCTTAAAACCCTAAACCCCCCAAAACCCTGGCCCCTAAAACCCTCATCCCCAGCCGCATAAACCCGAAAACCTGAACCCCTAAACCCGACACCCCTGATCCCTAAACACCTAAACAAACCTACCTACACCCATAAGGCCCAACGCGAATCCCTAAACCAAAGTACAGGATCTACTTTCTAGATCCTCCCGGCGGTCTGGGTAATCCCTAAACCCTAAAAACCCCCAGCGCCCAAACCTCGGCTAAAGTGGCCATGATGAGCTGCTCTGCCACCATCAGCTGCTCCTGCTTACGGGGCTTTTAAGGTTGCTTCTAGGGTTCCTTTAAGCGTTCCTCTACAAGATCTCTAAGGGTTCCCTTAAGGGTTCCTTTATGGGATCTCGGGGTTCCTTTAAGGTTTAGGGTTTAGGGGCTTCGGGTTTTGGGTTTCGGGGGTAGGTCAGGGCTTCAGGGGTTTCGGCTTTAGGGGTTTAGGGCTTAGAGCGGCAGAAGCCTAAAAGTTGGAAACCCGATAGCCTCCCTAAGAGAAACGTAAAGGGAATCCCAGCACGATTTGTTCAATTAGGTTTCCAATTTTTTGGAGTTTACAATATCTAGGATACCCAGTAACCTAAGAATAAAAAGGCCTCTCTTTTTGATATTGGGTAACTTCATAAGGAACCTAGGACTACAAAAAGGGAATAAGGGTACTACTGGGCATCCTAGATATGGCTTCGAGGCTGAAGGGCTTAGGGGGTTCTGCTCGAAGCTTCTGGTCGTGGGGTTTGGGGTTTTTGGGGGCTTGATAAGGCTTCACAAAGTGTGAGCCCTTTGTAAATCCGTAGAGGATAAAAGAACTCGTAGTGGATGTTAGAGGTAATCAGGCTTTTTATACTATACCCCGTTAGAACCATCCACAAAGTACTAGTTTTAATATTCTCTTGGGTTTTATATGAACAAATACAAAAAATATTCAAAAGGATACTAGACAAGTACAGGGCCTCCCAGAGTTGGTATCAGGTTTTATGATGCCCTCATAAGTTGATCTTGGTGTTTCATAGAACTTGTCGGTTTGGGTGTGGGTTCACGGCGGTAGGTCAGAACTTGTGGGTGCAGCGTTTAAGGCTTAACTGTCCAGTTTCCGAAGATAAGGCTTACCTTTGCAGCTATGCACGAGCACTACTACCAAGAAGGTCGAACGCTGCTGACTTGATGAGTTTTTTCTTGCCTGCTCTATACCGAGTGCATGTAGAAAGCTATTCTGAAAGCTGTTTGCTCTAAACTCTAAACCGTCGTTGTTGAAGCCCTAAATAAGAAAGCTGGAACCCTATCACCAAGCCCTGGCAGCTGGAAGGATGCTACTTGGAGGGTCGGGGGACTTAGTAAGTAGGTAGTAAGTAGACTTATAAGTACCCTAAAAGGGACCCTAATTGGAGTTATGGTACTTATAAGTCCCTAAAATAGCCAGTTACTAAGTCCCCCGACCCTCCAAGTAAGGGAGCATAAGCGAAGCGTCTATCCAAAATCCTTCAGCAGATCTGCATCAGCTCAGATTTCCCCCCTCTTGAGAACAGGCATCCCTCGACCATCTATGGCTATGGCTTCAGATAAGCCCAGATACTTGAATGGTCATGGGAGTTATAAGCAGGGTAACTATAGTGATATTTAATCATAACCCCAATTAGGGTACTTAAAACCTTACCTACCAAGTCCCCTGATCCTCCAGATAAGCTTTGTTTGGAGGGCCCTGTGTGTAAGATCCGTGAAGGCTTCTCGGTAGAGGAGAAAATGGCACGGGACTGCAGTTTTTGTAGGAGGGTAGGGGGCTTGAGAGCTTTAGGCTCGTCGGTGCTAAGGTTCAGGTTTGGGATTTAGGGTTTGGGGTTTAGGGTTTAGGGTCCCTCAACCCTAAACCCAAGGGTTCAGGTTTGGGATTTAGGGTCTAGGGTCTAGGGTCCCTAAACCCTAAACCCAAGGGTTCAGGTTTGGGATTTAGGGTTTGTGGGTTTTTCGGTTCCGATGGTCCGGCTGTACTTCCTCTACTCAGCCGCAAGGCATAGAGGAAAGACCTATCCCCATCACCCGCGAAGCGATCCGGCACACCCTCGTAGAAAGCTATACCCAACAAGGTGCATGTACGCTACAATTATGGACTTAGGTCCCCAAAACCATCAGAATGGTCCTTGGGGTCTAATTCCAAAATCGTAGTATCTTGCTTTACCCCCACATGAGACTACTATGTAAGTAGTAGAGGGTTTTAGGGGGATCTTTCTATAAGGGGTCTTAATCAGGGGTTCCTTCTAAAGGGGTCGAAGAACACCAAGTAACCCCATCATTCTTGAAACACAAAACCCTCTGCGCAGGGCCTGGCTACCTGGTCCGAGCATCGCCGTATGCCTGCATTCGACTCTAAGGTGTGCTTGGGGTTTAAGGTTTAGAAGAATAGTGTTTAGGGTCTAGGGTTTAAGGTTATCAGAGGGGGATTTATACTGCTTGTTAGGGGTTTAGGGTTTGAGAATTTAAGTTAAAGGCGTAGCGCCGCAGGTGCAGGGGGCACCCCAAAGGCTGACCGGCTTGCTCTAGCTTGGTCATCCCTGGAACAGGCTTCTCCCTTAAAAGGCAACCCTAAATCTTAAACCCTAATTCCTAACTTTAAGAACAGCCCCTTAAAGAAGGAATCTGAAGCGATGGGGACCTCCGTAAAGGACAACCCTGTTCCGCAGACCTCGGCCCGAGTAATCGGCCAGAAATCTGAATCCCAGACCCAGCACCGAAGCCCTGAACTAACCCTGAACACTAAACCCTCAACCCTCAACCCTAAACCCTAAACCCTCAAACCTTAAACCCTAAACCCTCAACCCTAAACCTTAAACCCTAAACCCTAAACCCTAAACCCTTAAGCCTTAAACCCTAAACCCTCAACCCTAAACCTTAAACCCTAAACCTTAACCCTGGCCTCCCGCAACTCCAGGGCTTAGTGTCCTAGACCATAAACCCCGAATCGCAAACCATGCCTGGTGCTGGTTCAAATATAGACAAGGGCACCCCCGCCCCCCCATACTCGATATTATATATATATATATATATGTATGTATAGATTTTTATATATATATATATATATATATATATATATGTATGTATGTATGTATGTATGTACGTATGTATGTGTGTGTATATATATAGATAGATATAGATATGTATCGTGTTTATATAAAAATATACAGGTCTGTGCTAGGTTGTTCCTTTGAGGAAAATGAACAGTCCTTTTGATC